GGACACACAGCAGTCAGACCCTCCTTCAGGGAGGTGGTCAGCAGAGAGCCTTAGGCAGCAGCTCCTTTAGGGTCGGCCAGAGAACCACCCTGTCCCAGGTCACGCTGTTCCTGGGAGCCCCTGCCCTGACTGAGCAAGGCCATGTCAGCCTGACACAGGACACGTTAACAAGCAATATCACTCCTGAGCCACAGCAGATTGGCCCAGACATTGCTAGGCTGACATCGAAGTTCAAATCCTACCTCTGCCCAATCCTGCTTCCTCCCCTTTTTGTTCAGAATAAACATCTTGCACCACAAACTCCTTCTCAGGGTCTACTTCTGAATGACCCAGCCACCTTTTAAGCCTATTGTCCATTTTCCTATTGAGTTGTCTTTTTTTTTTTTTCCTTACCAATTTGTAGGAGACTTTACTTAGTACGGATTCAAGTGCTTTGTCAATTACATGTGTGGCAAATATCTTCTCCTGTCTGGGTCTTGCCTTGTTCGTTGCTTTATTGTGTCTCTGAAAACCAGAAGCCCTTCATTTGGATGTAATTTAATTAATCACATTATTTTTTTTCCTTTTGAGACATGCTCTTTGTATCCTACCCTAAGGCCATGACGAGATTGTCCTGTATTATATTCTAACAGCTTTTATTGTTTTGTCTTTCAAATTTAGACTTACAAGCCACCTGGAATTAATTGTTGTGTAAGGCATGAGATGGGGGCCATATGTCATTTTTCCCCGGATGGATATCCCATTGTCCCAGCACATTTTGAAGATGCCTCCTTCCCCCCACTGTTCTGTGTGCCAACTTGTCACATATGTCAAGTATGTCTGTCCCCACGTGTGGGTCGGTTTCTGGATTCCCACTGGCCCCTTTGTCTGCTCTTGTCCCAATACCACAGTCATAATCCCCATTCTCTTTCAAGCCCACTCGGAGTGTTCCACTGAAATTGCCCTTATGAAGATTAGCAACAACTCCTCTTGGCAAATCCAATGGTCGATTCTCAGTCCTCAGTTCGCTTGCCTTTTCAGCTGCAGTTGACACTGATACCCACTTCTCGCTGTCACAGGGTCTTCCGGACACCATTGGTTTTTCTCCATGGGTGCAACTGGGAGTGCCATTCACTTCAAATCAGAGCTGCAGAGAGGGCGCCAAACCTGTTCTCCACACACTCATACATGTTCTCCACACACACATACACACACACACATACATACACACATTCTCCACACTCACACACACGTCCTTCACACACACACATTCTCCACACTCACACACACGTTCTCCACACTCACACACACGTTCTCCACACTCACACACACGGTCTCCACACACACACACACACACACACATTCTCCACACTCACACACACGTTCTCCACACTCACACACACGGTCTCCACACACACACACACACACACACATTCTCCACACTCACACACACGTTCTCCACACTCACACACACGTTCTCCACACTCACACACGTCTCCACACTCACACACACTCTCCACATTCACACACACGTCTCCACACTCACACACACGGTCTCCACACACACACGCACATACACACGTTCTCCACACTCACACACACAAGTCCTTCACACACACACACGTTCTCCACACTCACACACGTCTCCACACTCACACACACTCTCCACATTCACACACATGTCTCCACACTAACACAAGTTCTCCACACACACACACGTTCTCCACACTCACACACGTTCTCCACACTCACACACACGTCTCCACACTCACACATACAAGTTCTCCACACTCACACACATAAGCTCTGCACATTTACACACACACAAGTTCACACACACACTTAACTTCCCACGACAATTCTACCCCATGGCAGTGGCTTGAAGACTAAAATCCAGGAATTTTGTTACCATCCCTCCATTTCAGCTCTGCTGCTACTAGGTTGCAGAGGGGGTGAGGGAGGCAGGCACTTGGTTCAATGGGATTACAAAAGTACCTACTAACAAATGCAAAGGAAACTGCAAACCACACTGAGATGGAGGAAGACTTTCCTTGCTAGAGATTTTGTTCTCACTCTAGAAACTATTCTTTTTAACACACTGACACATTCACAATCTCGGTTTTGGTATTAGCAAACCTAAACCCATCTGAAATGCACTGTGCTTGCAGTGTCACTCCTGACATTTTGTGAGATACCCTGTCATTAAGTCAGTGCACTAGAAGGATGTGGGGGTTTCCGTGTATAAACGATGCTCTGAATCCTAACACGACTGTCTCACTTCCAAGTCTCAAAAGCATTTTGCTGAAAATCACATCCTTATAATTTCCATAATAGGCCTCGATCAGTGTGTTGTGAGGAGGGCTGGGGTAGATAGGGCAGGATCCTTTGGATCCTGAGATGAGGAGGAAGTGCAGCGTTCTGAACCAAGAGTTGGGGGAACTCCAAGACACCAGGAAGGGGTGTCTTGCCTCCCTTCAACCTGGGGCCCCTCCGGATGCTCCCCATCATTCTCTCATGTGTCGAGAAGAGGAATTGTAGGCTTTGGGAGAAATTTGGAAAGTGATGCACATGATAGCCAGTGACTGGAGTCCCAAGAACGTGGCACAAAATAAATGAAGTTGAGGAAATTTGGATGTGATTAATAAAGGAAGCAGACTAGTTTTGCAAAGATACAGATGCAGACTGATGTAGAAATGCAAGAGCCTATCGTACTCCAGAAATATTAGTGAATATTGCCTTGGGAATCTGCAATATAATTTAGAGGTCATGATTTTTTAAATCTCATTGAATTCTAGTCACATGCCTAATTTTTTTTATCAAAATATCAGCAAATTTGATTGCCCTCTCTATTCACCTGCATCATCTCTAAATAAATACATTTTCACAGCTAGAAACAAATTTCCCCTCAAAGGATGATCAGGTGCCAGCATGACTGTTCAGAAAAATATTTCAGAGGGTCCTCAATTATTTCAACCAATGGGGGTTCCAAACACTCCCTGGCTTGGCAGCGTCTCAGGAAGGACATGGCTAATGGAATGGCGACTCTCCGACCAGTACGCAGACTCACTGGAGGCAGACAATCGGTTTGTTGGGAAGAGTGTGGAGGGTTGTTGTTTGGGGGAAGGACAGGCTTTGGGGTTGAGGTTTTGGGAAGGGATGCAGAGAGCAATAAAAAAAATCTTTTATGGTTACAATATACAAGAGTGTTCACTTTTTACACACCCTTTTTCCATGGTCATACTGGACCAGTTTCAACTTGGAAAATTCTGGGTATTTTTCAGTTGGTGAACTATCTTCATTTGTAATATAAAACTGTCTTGACAACAAGGTAAGAGGCTTACATGCACATTATTCTCCAGGACGATGACCTCGCTGGTCCTCACGTTCGCTAAATAGAACTCACACCCTTTGAAAATATGTGCTCTGTATCTCTTTGTAAATAGAGGTTCTATATATTTTGAACTCGAACTTTTGAGACAATTTCCGTGGATATCTCATGTTTCTGTACACAGCTTTGCTTGCAGATCCTTTAGATTAGGTTTTCTGAGCTCAAAATTCTTCAGCTGTGACACAAACACACTGCATGTGCAGCGCCCGCCTGGGCTAATCCACACACACACCCCCAATGGAGCCAGGGGGACAAGAGGAGCAGATGGGGAATGAAGCTCCCTCGGCCTTCGGTGCCTCTGACCTGGGAGTGCCGTCTTGTGCCAGTGTCCGTGGCCCTGTGGTGGGTTAACTCATTAGCTTGCACAGAGTAAAAATCTCAGACCTTTCATAGTTCTTAAAAACATCCAAAAAATTTAAATTTGTAGAAAAGGATTTCTTTGTCCTACCTGACTTCTTACCTCTCTCAAGTAAACAATCTAATACAGTTCTGACACAATGAACAAATATGGATTGTCTCCTGTGGTTTGTTGCAAAGGGACTTAATGTTTCCAGCCAGAAAACTGAGAAGTGAGTTGAATGTATTAAAGGACACACATAGGAAAGGAAACAGTTATATAGGAATAACAGAGATTAAAGGAAAAGGAAATAATTCTAGAATTCAGAAATATAAATGCATTAGAAAGCATGTCTTAAATTGTGGTTCTTAGTCCCGCAAGCTAAACCATCTGTACTTCTGAAAAGTGCAGCCATAGCGCCCTCTACTGGAACCACACTGAAAACTACAGGTAACCGTTTGCAGTTGCTTTGTGGACTGCACTCCTCCGTGGCATCCACTGCTGCCATTATCCAGATTTTAACCTCAAATAGACAGACCTCGGAACCTCAGGTGTTCAGAGGTGAGAGGAACACAGTTCCCTTTGCAGACCCAGCTTGACAGGTTTTGCTGAACCACTTAGTGCTGAAGAGAGTGGATAGCCCTTACCACACTCACCTTTAATTTGTAGCAGCCACTGATTGTGGGGACCACTAACAGAGCTGCAGCCTTTGCTGGAAATCAACCACCAGCCCCTCTGCCCTTACCTGCCCCACTTCCATTCCATGGGCCTCTCCCTTCTTCCAGTAACCCCCATCACCAAGCCGGCTCAGTTCCATCACCGAAAGCATCACTTTGCTCCTGGGCTACTGTAGGGCGAGACACAGTGAATGCCAACCCTTCAACTCCAGCAGAGTAGCACAACTGTGAACTCAAATGGTGATTTGCCAAAGGTCCAAACCTTAATTTTAGCTTAAATGTCACCCTATCAGTACTTCAAACACAGAGTTTCCAAATGTTTTTACCATGCATTGACATCAGAAGGAATAATACACCAATAAAATGTATTATTTATTTATAAATTATAGAAGTGTACAATTGAACAATATATTGTGTACATTATAAAACACACAAAAATAGAAATTTAATTTAAAGGATGAGATTAAATACAAATAACCATTTTAACATTTCCCCAGTGGACGGATCATCCCATGCCCTGCGATGTGCACCCCCGCCTGAGACCACAGCCCTAGAGCCTGCCAATGACTGCTGCATTTGGATTTTTAGCTCAGGTTACAAAAATGTACAAGGTCACAGCTTTTTTTTTTTTTTTAAGTTTTGCAAAATAGCCCTAGCATCAAGTTTAAATATGTAAAGATGCTTAATGTTAACTTCTTAAGATGTATTTGGATTAATCACAACACAGCTGGTAAAATGTCACATTATGGTTCACTGTTAGGCTGTTTCACTTTAAGGCAGACTATAATAGGGGATTTCAAGGAGTTGAGTAAGAATATTTGGGGAGAAAAATGCTTTAAAGAAAGGTCGAGGATTTGCTTTCTTTTTTAAGCCAATAAACAGCTAGCACCGAAAAATATAATCCCTCTGCCTACAGACTGAAAAAAAAGACATTCCAAACAATGGATATTAGCTAATGCTAAAGGATTAAAATAGATTGCCACACATCTGCCCTGATACTAGTGAGTCCTTAGGAACACAAATTCTTGCCCTGACTGGTTAGAGCATTGTCCTACACACCAAGGTGGCGGGTTTGATCCCTGCTTAAAGGATATACTGCAATCAACCAATGAATTCAGAGGTGGAGTAAATGAATGTTTCTTTCTTTCTCTCTAAAATCAATCAATAAATAATTTTTTAAAAAAGAAAATACAAATTTTTTTTTCATAGCCCCAGTATCCAATCACAGACTCAGGCACACAGACACTCAGTAAATATGCAATGAATGATGATCAACAATCCCCAAAAACTATCAGAAGTGCTGAATTCCATTTGAAAGGATTGTTGCTAAAGAACGTTCCAATATCTGGTTTTGACTGGCTGAAACAAGTAACCGGATAAGGATTGTGATCAAGAATAATATGCTCAGCCCCAGCCAGTGGCTGTACACCAAAAAGGCTGTGGGTTTGATGCCTGATTAGGGCACATACCGAGGTCACGGGTTCAAATCCCGATTGGGGTGTGTACAGGAGGCAGCTGATTGATGTTTCTCTCTCTCTCAAATCAATACACATATCCTCGGGTGAGGAATAATAATATGCTCAGAGCCTCACTGCATTCAACACCTCTCTCCCGTCCCCTCCCCTTCTCCAGCTCTGCTTCCCCCAGGGCCTAAGCTTCCCACCACAGAGTGGAGCAATTCGGATTGACAGGCTGGTCCTTCACCTCTCAGTGCAAGCTGAGAAACACAACAGAACATTTATTCTATACAACCTCATTCAATGTGCCCCTTAATTTTAAAAAACTGACCAAAAATTTTAAAGGACATGAACATCTGACTTTGAGATTGAGTTATGCACATAGAAGGCAGCGTGGGGCCTCAAGTTTTATAACCCTAACATTTACAACTGCTAGACTTTTAATTGTGGTTTCCCCTTGGGAGAGCTTTTTGTTTTAATAGGAACTTCACCAATTACAAAGATAAAAATATTATGCAACTTAATTTTATAATGTTTCACTTTGTATACCCACACTGTTTTCACCTATATGTTCATGTATCCTGTTGACAAAATGTCACTTTCTTGATGGGAACAAAAACGTGAACTACACTCAGTAAGGGTTTCCATTAGATTAAATGCAAACCAGGGTACATTTAAGTCAGTTCTCACTAGTAAATCTCAGTTAAGGGAAAGAAAAATGGGATGCAGTTTCCAGACTTGTTGGAAAGATGAACCATAACCTGAAGGCTCAAGGCTTTCATTACTGTGGTATGGAAAGAGTTTACTTAATGTACTCATTAGAGAAAAATGTACTTATCTTATCAGGAAGTACACATACAGGGTGGGGCAAAAGTAGGTTTATAGTTGTGAGTACATGAAACAGAGTTTATTATTGTATTATTTATTAATTATTGCATTATTTTCCATATGAACAGCTGTAAGCCTACTTTTGCCCCACCCTGTATATCACCAGAAGGGCAAGGGAAAACCAAGTGGTGGGTTGAGGTGATGCTGTTGTGGTGAGCACTGTGGGGAGTTACTGGGTTGTGAAATCATCCTTACTAGAGTCAAACAGAAAGAAGCCAGTTATTTCAATAAACTGATAAAGCCTCTTTAAGAGAAAACAGCCAATAGAATAGGCATTCCTTTCTTGGAAGAATTTTTCACGAGAATCATGACCTATGCATGTTACACACTGTTTGGTTTGCTCACTTTGCCTTCACGCCACACGCGTTCTCTAGCCTCCCCTTTCACAGATGCTACAGGCTGGCTCACTCCCTTCCACCACCACCAGCTGCCTCCCCTGCCACCGGAGCTTCCCAGTAAAACCTGACTCAAAAATTAAACCCACTCCTGACTTGTAAAATGAAACAAATCCTCAATGGCACTCCTGCCTGCCAAGGAAGGGTCTCACACCTTTAAAAAAGAAAAACAGGTGATTAAAGTTCCAATGGAAAAACTACTTTCACTGTATCTCAGAAAAGAATACATCTTAAATTTAGAACCCCCAAAAACATTCATGTTTCTGGTAATTTTCAAGTTTTATTTCCAATTACTGGAGTAACAAAATACCAGTACTAATTCTGCATGGAAAGTGGCAAACTTTTAAATACACAAGGTCACAAATTAGTATTCCGATAGTACTTTGGCCTATGAAGATTTTGATAGGACAGTATTATTGCAATCAGTCCTATAATATTAGAAACTTATGCTGCCTCCATACCTAGTCATGAAAATAATCATCTTACTTCAACGATTCATCACGTATACATTCCTACTCTTTATGAGCACTCTCCTTCTAGGATGTAGCGTGAGAGGGAAAATCCTCCCGTTGGTGGGTTTTCTATGGTATACAGGAAGAGCAGTCACTTCAGCAGTAATGTACAATATTAAATTTTTAGTTGGAAAATAAAAGAATTATCCTATTATATCCTTTCTCTGGGAGTAAAAAGACACACACCATTACAAACGTAAAACGAGTCAAACTTCTATTTTATTGACAGGAGTCCAAAATGAATACAAAAAATGCCTCCTCTGCATTTATATATATTTTTCCTTAAAAGGCTTGTGATAAAATCAGGTAGATTAAAAGCTATGAATGTGTTTCAGCTTTTATAATGAACCTTTAAAAAAAGGTTTAATAACCTAAGTCACCACATCAGAGAACATATGGTCCCACAATCATTTTTAGATCTATAGCTTATAAAAGAACTAGATCCTGCATTGATCTGCTCAAACAGAGGCTTAAAAATGTTTTAAGCCATTAAAAGCCATTTTAATAATCTGTCTATTAACTCTGGGAAATTAAGAAAGGAAAATCCCAAAATGTAGCCCTCTATTTAATGTGGAATGTGAGAGAATGCCAACTTATGATGATGACAGCTAAAAATAAAAAGTTTAAAGCTATAAATGGAACTGTGATAAATAATCTTGTATCACTGCAAAATGTCAATAAATGATAGCGCTTACCAAGATGAAAACTTGAGCAGATGTTACTTAAAACAGAGTGATGTTTATCATACTTTGTTTGCTAAAACTAAAACTGAACAAAGAAGTTGCTCATTTATAGACTGTTTTTCATGTACTTTTTCTTTTACTGGGACCATAAATTGATCAGATAATACATAGCCCACACTTCTGGACATTATAACAAAGGGTTTATTATCATTTGCAAATGAAGTAAATGCACCCTCCCATACTTGAAAGGCTTTAACAAGCCTTAAGCATTTTTCAGACTGTACCAAGGCACCAGCACTGCCTATGTTATATTATGCATCCATTTCTAGGAAAGAATACCTCCCTCAACATCAGTTCTGCACTGTTTCTGGTTTATTATACACTTCCAAAACAGCAAAAAATTGCAAACATGTGCAAATATGGTCCATTTGTAGTCTTGCTTAGTCATCGTCTTCCTCTTCTTCTTCCTCTTCCTCAAAGCTATCTTCAAAGCCCTCGCTGTCCTCCTGGTCTTCATCCCCCTCTATTGCTGTATCCCACTGTGGATGATTTTCTGGCACAGGCTTAGCCTCATGAACTTCCAACTATAAAGAAGAATTAAATGTAGACAACAGAAATGTTGATAGATATAACTGATTTAAAAAAAAAAAAAGTTTTCTTTGACCAAAGCAGTTATGAGTAACTAGAGGCCCAGTGCATGAATTCGTGCACCAGTGGGATTCCTCGGCCTGGCCTGCAGGACTGGGCCAAAACAGGCTCTCTGACATCCCCCAAGGGGTTCCGGATTGAGAGAGAGCACAGGCCGGGCCGAGGGACCCCACCGGTGCACCATCGGGGCCAGAGAGTAACGTAGGAAGTTGGCCAGTTGGGGAGGGACTGCGGGAGAGCTCCAGAGCGTGTCCAGCCTGTCTCGCTCAATCCCGATCAGCCAGACCCCAGCAGCAAGCTAACCTACCAGTCAGAGCATCTGCCTCCTGGTGGTCAGTGGACATGATAGCAACTGATCGACCAATCGACTGTCTGCCCCCTGGTGGTCAGTGCACGTCATAGCGACTGGTCAACTATCTGCCCCCTAGTTGTCAGTGCATGTCATAGCGATTAGTCAACCAGTCAACTTTCTGCCCCCTGGTGGTCAGTGCATGGCATAGCCAGCGGTTGAGTGGCCTTAGCATATCATTAGCATATTACACTTTGATTGGTTGAACGAATGACCGGACGACCGGACACTTAGCATATTAGGCTTTTATTATATAGGACTAGAGTTTATGGTCATAACTCTAAATTTGAAGTATTCATTTAGAACAGACGTTCATCCCAGAAATAAAAAGGTAAATCTATTAACATGTAAATGTAGTTAAATTTCTGTTTGATAGTTTGATTTTATAGAAGCTATACTATTTATTCTGTGGCATGAAAGATTAATAATTGTTAATTCCTGAGCAAAAACAATGAGTGATGTCTTCATGTCTTCTGCTGAGGAAAAAAAACTCAAAGAGGTATTTTGTAGCCTCCAGACTCGTGAAGCAAAATTCTACAGCCAAGGGAAAGACATATGGTACCCTTGTGGGAAAAGAGGTGTGCTTTTACTGGCTCCCTTTACTCTGGGACTCCAGTCCACATGAAATGATACTGTAGCACAATCTTCCTAAGCCAACAGAATGCTTTCACAAAAATCCTGCAGCGAAATAGTGAACACTAAGGGGAGTATGGTTCACATGACACTTACACAGAGTATATGCTCTAAAACGCTAAAGAGTAAATTACCTTCAAAAGTAATAAACAGCGTTTTTATATACCAATAATGAACCATCAGAAAAGGAAACTAAGAAAACCCCATTTACAATTGCATAAAAAAAAAAAAAAAAAAGCCCCTAGGAATAAATTTAACCAAGGATGTAAAAGACCTGACTCAGAAAATTATAAGACACTGAAGAAAGAAACTGAAGAAGATACAAATAAGTGGAAGCATATACTATGTTCATAAATAGGAAGAATTAACATCATTAAAATGTCCATACTGCCCAAAGAAATCTATAGATTCAATGCAATACCTATCAAGATACCAATGGCATATTTCACAGAACTAGAATAAATATTCAAAAAAATGAATATGGAACAGCTGTCCATGAGGAAACTCCTAGCGATGGGGTCTTTAAAGGGTAGCTTTTACTCTTCTGTTTATTCTAAACAACTGTTGTCACTTAGAAGTCCCCACTATGAGCTCTAAGTCTCTGTGCTAAATGTTTTACATACTTTATTTTGACAACGTTGACCTTTATCTGAGCAACACCAGTTGAGAAATTTCCCCATTCTTTTGTGTTCTGGGAGATGACTAAGTGTAAAGGATCCTCTGCCCTCTTAAATGCAAAGGTAGGACCATCTCCATCTTTACTCATGACCCCCATAAAACTTGAGGATGACACACCCTTGTTTATCGAGAGTCCCTTCCTTTTGATACAACGAACCTTTTCCCTATTACAGTAACCTAAATAATCTCCTTAAAAGAAAGAAAAATTAATAAACAGGCCAAGAGAATCTGTGGGAAAACACATTATCCTTTTCTAAAGAAAACAGAACCCCTATAAAGTTACAGCACATTAAAAGGTATCACTTAAGTAGTTTATAGTCAAGATTCTAAATTATTACAGTAATTTATATCTAAGATTCTAAATCGTTAACACCCCTTTAACTCAACAAATTTGGTTTATTACTGAAAAATAGTCCATCAAATGTATCATATAAAGTATGAGATGAACTCTTTTTCCATTACTCTACATTTTACACTTCTTCAAATAGATAACCACATTTACTGAAGAGTCACTATTCTTACCTTCAAAGGTTTTATCTGATCCAAACCCATATAGGAGTCTGATCTCAAAAACACTGTATACTGATAATTTCCAGGCTTGCCTGGTGCAGGAAACTTCAGTTCTACCTGGAAGAAAAATTAGCACTTAAAACCTGTATCTTGAGGAGTGGAAAAAACATCACAGCACTCCTAAAATTCCTTCACCAGAGTATTTAATAGCTAGGTGTTTACTCAGATGACAGCCTAACAAATGCTACAAAAGTTCTAACAACAGCAAATATGTATATGATAATTATGTCATACATTATATATACTATACAAAAGGAAATAAAATTAGGCAGAATTGATAGGGTTAATTTGTATCACCATAATTTAAGAAAGTATATTTAAAGCAACAAAGTTCTTTGTTGACCATCACACCCTGACAACTTGAAGAAATGAAGCAGGTAAGGTATAAAAGTAAAATGAAATGTTGAAATAAAATAGACTTCACCAGAAAGGTAATAATTCTTGCCAAATTTACTTATTTCTAAAATAAATGCTATGAAATAATAGAATATATATATATTGGTCCTTGCTGATGGTTCCTGGCACAGAGCTCCTCAAATCCCTATAACTCTCTAAGTGACAAGCACACTAGGAGCATCTTTTGTTCTAATATTTGCTCTCTGACCCTGGTTCATAAATCCTTTGAAATTTCCTGGGTGATAGGAATGTTTTATTCGAATGAGGTGACTCCTGGTGGACTCCTAGATAAGAACTGGTCACCAGAAAGACAAGCCATGATTAGAGAAGCTTAGAACTTTCAGTCCCCCACCCCATTCTCCAGAGAAGGGCTGGAAATTGAGTTAATGATCAATCACACCTATATGATGAAGCCTCCATAAAAATTCCCAAACAAAGGGTTCAGGGGAGCTTCTGAGACTGTCAACACATGGAGGTGCTGGGAGAGTGTATACTCAAAAAGAGCATGACAGCTCCATGCCCCTTCCCACATACCTTTCTTATCTATCTCTTGCATATGGATGTTCTTTATATTCTTTATCATATTCTTTTATAACAAAATGGTACACTTGTTTCCTTGAGTTCTGTGAGCCATTCTGGAAAATTACTGAATCCAGGGAGGGAGTCATGGGACCCTGATTTTTAGCCATTTGGTGAGAAGTACAAGTGTCAACCTAGGACTTGTGAGTGGCACCTGAAGTGGGAAAGTGGGGGACAGCAGTCTTGTGGGACTGATCTTAGCTGGTGAGATCTGACACTATCCAGCTATACCGGCAGCATTTAATTAAACTGAAGGACACTCAGCTGGCATGATAGAGAATTGCTTGGTGTGGGGGCAAACCACACATCTGTGTCAGAAGTGTTGTGAGGATGTTAGTAATGTGAATGAGTAAAGCAGAAACACAGGAGAAGTTGTGTTTTTCCTTTACAAATGCCCAATGCCTTAAAAGGTCAAGAAGATATTTTATTTCCTATCAAATCATAGCCTTCAAATACAGAGTTACAAAGTCTTAGAAGTTTTAATTCTACTTGGACAAAGGAAGAATACATATTTAAGATAACATTTGGAATTTCTGGTTATCTGCCTCCAATCTCCAAAATTCAGATTTTGTAGGCAAGATTATGTATTACAATATGCCATTAAGCCCCAATTGGGTTGCTTAGTTGGTTAGATCATCATGAGGGTACATCAAGGCTGTGGGTTTGACTTCCTATCAAGGCACATACAAGAATCAACCAATAAATGCTTAAATAAATGAAACAACAAACTGATGTCTATGTCTCTCTCTTCCTCTCTCTCTCTTTCTCTCTAAAAATCAACTTAATTATTATTTTTTAAATTTTTAAAAATATGACATTAATACAAACTAGAAAAATATGATGGGAGAATCTCTTTTTTTATTGATCTCACAGTTTGGTGTTCCTAACAACTAAAATACAAAAACCTAAAAATCATAAAAGAAAAATTACTTAATCACATTATTAAAAAACTCCAAATAAATAAATGGATAAGCAAATATGTATAATTTTGCTTGGTAAAAACAATCGTTAATAGTAAAACAAACTGGGGAGAAACATTTGCTATACATATAACAAAGAGCTATTTTATTAACATTAAAAAAAAATCTAAAACCAATTAAAAGACCAATAACCTGACAAAAAAGAACAACAGTCACAAACACATACAAAATGAAATACAATTCAAACACCCTGATTTTCAATCTTCAGACTCACTCATTAAAACTACACTGAATACAACCAGCAGAGTAAAAATTGATGCAGGCAAGAATCATCAATGTATGCTAAAATGAGTGGCTAAGAGATTGTTGAAGAACAGGATAGTCACATGGTACCCAAGTATCACCTCCCCCGCCTCCCCAGGTTAGGGGAAAAAAATAGCTTTCACAAGAGAGAAAAGCTTTAACTAAATGATCAACCATAATATCAGCAATATGGGAAGAACTGTTACATTTATGCCCTTGATATAATGCACTAAGGTTACAGCATCTGCGTAGTATTTTGGCCAAAAATATTTAAGATGAATATAACCATGAGTAACTAATGAGACAAATTCAAACAAAGGAATATTCTACAAAATGCCTTGCCTAGACTCCTCAAAAATATCAATGGCATGAAAAATTGAAAAAGAAAAAGGCCAAGGAAGTGTTCTAAAGAAGAATGGCAACCAAATGTAATATGTGATCTTTGATTGGATCCTGAATTTAAAAACAAAACTAGCCCTATCCCACATGGTTGAGTGGTTAGAGCTTCAGCCCATGCACTAAGGGTCCCAGGTTTGATTCCCAGACAAGGGCACATACCTGAGTTGCAGGTTCAATCCCAGACCCCAGTCAAGGTGTGTGCAGGAGGCAACCAATCGATGTGTCTCTCTCACATCGATGTTACTCTCTCCTCTCTCTATCCCCCTCTGCCCTCCCTTCTACTCTCTAAAAAGCAATGGAAAAAATATCCTCACTCCTTGGGTGAGGAGTAAAAAAAAAAAAAAATCAAGAATAAAAAAGAAAAGCGCTCCCAAGGGGTAAAATATGTTCATCACAACAGTGGCCAATGCCACATAATCAAAAATTCCACACTACAAATCTAATCACCCATTCTTACATTTTTAGGAAAGGTATATAACTTAGCACTAACCATACATTTTTGTACAATGCAATGAAATTCTAGAGAGAAGGAAAGGCATATGTTCTTAGACACGGTGAAAACCTTCAAAAATAAGTTGAAAACAAGTTTTTTCAAAGACTGACCAAGTTGCCTACCTTAGCCATTCAAACTTTACAAATTTTAAATGACCTTCCCCCAGGAGACATCAGAGAATAGTTTAAAATGTCTTAAAATGCAATAAGCCAAATATGATAAACTGTTTTCTAAAGACAAATTTTATGAAGCAGCATGATGATGAGATGCTGTACACTTGTAAAAACTAAAATACTATTGTTGGACAGTTACCTCTTCTGTATCTTTCAGTGTACACACATGATATGGCATAGATATTAGTGTCTGCTCCTTCCTATCTGCAATATAAAGCCACCACCATTCTTGTTTTTCCTGCAAGCGAAAAAAAGAGTATAAATCATCAGAAAGAACTAGAGAAACAGTTTTGCCTTGTTTCGATTAAGAGGTATTATCCTTGTTTTAGTCATTGCTGTATTGTACAAAATAGATGTATAAGAAATATTTACTGAACAAATAAATTTTTCTTATCCATTTGCAGATCTGCTCTCCAAAAGAATTTTGTATCGAACTTTGGGGTTTCCAATGGCCCCTTAGGCCTTATCAGTGGGCCTCTGTATTAAAAAACCCCTGATTAACCTTAAGAAAGCTAAAAAAGAAGATATTCTAAAAAAAGAAAACAGTATAAACTATTAAAATGGCATCTAGCAAATAATCTTAGTAATCTCAGCTAGTAATAAGCAAAAGCCAGAAAGTAGGAGTGGAAGAGACTTGGGCAACCAAATGAGAAATCAATAAATTGAAACACATTACTCATAAGAGACCATCTTGAAATCTAAGAGTCTATACCTTTCACTGCACATGATTTTTATATTAATAAGTTCAGCATTTTTAGGTGTACTTCATAAAAGATTAGAAACAGAAAAGGAGTGGTTAAAAACAAAACAAAAACACCTGTCACCAGAAAGCACAGCAGGGACATCAGGGAGAACCAACGGAGACAGAAAAACTAAAAAAACAACCAAAAACAGATGACGAAGCAGCCTGGAAGCACTGAACTCCAGTCTGCTTGTTACCATCACTACATTACCGTACATCAGTGGTTGTTTAGTCATCTGCTTAGGACAGATATCTTTATAAAATAGCTTAAAAAATGTTTTGGAGCCAACAATAAAATTAACTCTAGAATATTCTAAATACTTAACCAAAACAACAACAGACTATTCTAAATAATCATCAAAAGAAGGTTAAAAAAATAACTTTTTACTGAAGTTTCATAGGAAAAATGTTTGTGTTTAAGCTAAAATCACTTGCACTTCCCATTTTATTTTAACCGTGAGGCATTAAAATTAAAAGCTCTTTTGTTTAAATGACTTAAAAGCAATTTAAAAAAAGTAATACAACATTAATAAGCAGAATAAATAAATCACAAGAACATGTTACATGATTAACCCAACCTCAGCTTAACCTGAGGGTTAGGACGACCACAACAGGTATATGTGTATGTATATAAGTTTATCTGTGTGTTTTGCGCACACAAAGTGGGTAAAAACATAAGTGCCTGAAAGTGGAGTATTAATGCCTGGGCTTTGTGGGCCACAGAGTCTGTTTAAGTACTGAACTCTGCCATTGTAGCAGGACGAGAATGAATGTGGCTGTGTTCCAGTAAAACATTTACAATAAAACTTCATTCACAAGAGCGGGAGGGAAGGAGATCTGTCTGCATGCTGCAGTTTGCCAATTATGTTTTAAAGCCACACAGGCCTGGGTTATTTCATTCCTCTAACCCAGGGGTGGGCAAACTTTTTGACTTGAGGGCCACAATGGGTTCTTAAACTGGACCGGAGGGCCGGAACAAAAGCATGGATGGAGTGTTTGTGTGAACTAATATAAATTCAAAGTAAACATCATTACAGAAAAGGGTACGGTCTTTTTTTTTTTTTTTTTTAGTTTTCTTCATTTCAAACGGGCCGGATCCGGCCCGTGGGCCGTAGTTTGCCCACGGCTGCTCTAACCATTGCTTTTCTCTTCTGTTCAATGATGAGTGCCTACCTCAGGCTGTGTAGTAAAGATGAACTGAGATCATACAAGTAAAATATGTTATAATGTCTAGCATAAAGATAGTAATAAATAAGTTATGATTATTAGTGAAGTGAGGTAAAGGCCTCTGTTATTTAGGTAGTTGTGACATTTCACTGTCAGAACATGCATGTAACATAGGAAGCACAGAGATATGTTCAAGAACATGCATTTCTTCTTTACTTCTCCACTTGGAGAATGCCTCTCTCTCCCTTCTCCCAGGCTACTTATTAAAACGAGACTCATTCCAGAATGTTTATTAAGAAGCATGGGAATATCAATCTGTGGCATGGCACCTGTGCCTAAACTCTGATGCACATCCTGAAAGTGGAAAAGATGCTCTACCCAGAGTTATTTGCACATTAAAATTGTTTTTCTGTTGTGTATGATTCCCAACCATTCTTAACATACTAAATATAAATATAGTAAATGAGTTTCAATAACATGAAAGTCAATTATTAATATAAATCTTTAAGTGGGTAGTGTGGTAGTTAGGGTAGTTGGGTAGATACTTGGGAAGTAGACAAGTAAACATTAGAAAAGTCCTAAATAAATATTATCTGATAAATGGTACTTTGAGATGCTTAACATGCAGATGCAGATTATATTGGGAAAAGGTATTTTTACTGCTAAAATGTTCTAAGAAAGTGAATGAATATTATGCCTGTTAACTAAGCATGGACTAAAATGAAACTGTTACAAGGATAAAAATTATGCAGCTTAAAGAATCCCATGGCGTCGAAACCGGTTTGGCTCAGTGGATAGAGCGTCGGTCTGCGGACTGAAGGGTCCCAGGTTCGATTCCGGTCAAGGGCATGTACTTGGGTTGCGGGCACATCCCCAGTAGGAGATGTACAGGAGGCAGCTGATCGATGTTTCTCTCCCATCGATGTTTCTGACTCTCTATCTCTTTCCCTTCCTCTCTGTAAAAAAAATCAATAAAATATATATTTAAAAAAAAGAATCCCATGGCACTTTTAAAAATAAATCACTGAGTGAACTTATTTGCTTGATTTCAGGAGCCCTGTGGTTGGCAGACGACCAATGCAATGGGAAAAATGCCCCTAACAGATGGGCTCATGTTCAGGACATGCCATGGATCAGCGTGTGCATTAAGATGGAATCCTGGGCTGACGTCTCACCAAGTCACAACAAAAGTCTGTCAGAGCGACTCATTAATTATTAGGAAAGCCAAATTACTTAGGAATTTGCTTTCAGCAGCTCCCAGCAACTCTGCATTGACAGAGCAGAAAGCAGGGTTATACATGAAATCACCTGCCAAACATGAGTGATAAACATAGGTTCTATGGCAAAGCTGTGAGGCAATCTGCAGGACAGCTTCCCTGAACTGAGGCAACTACTTCTTAACCTCTAGCCACAGACAGAATCATCCACAGAAGTGAAATGTCAAGCAAATCCCATTCATTTGAAAGACAAATATAGCCTATCAAAGAGATCAAAAGTTGAGCAGGCCACAAGCACAAAGTAAACAAGGACAAGGGAACAAGCAGCATTGCAATGACCTGACGTGAGCCAGAGGCTCAGCCACACTCACAATTACTGACCTTCAGCTGGTCCCACAACTGCCAAAGTCTGAGGCAATTACTGGGACCACAGCAAGTTTAGTAGCTCTAGGCGGCCAGTACAGGACTCACAAAGAAAGCCCATGGGAAAAGTTTAAGAACTCTCATCCTATTTAAAACTTGACAGAAGTGAAAGATTCACAATAGCTACCTAGCTAGAGCCAAAATATGCATTTGTATGAGTAGCTGCCTGAACTGTTAATGAGAAATCATAAAACACAACCGTTAGTAATCTTCACACATGCACAGAGAACCACAAAAGTTCTTAAGAAGTTAACAATCCTCTTTTTAAACACATAATTCATATAGAGATATATCCTTCATGGTTCAATACCCGATCAGGGCACAGGCCTGGGGTCTGGGCTTGATCCCCAATAGGAGGTGTGCAGGAGGCGGTCGATTGATGATTCTCTCTCATCATTAATGTTTCTATCTCTCTCTCCCTCTCCCTTTCTCTCTATAATCAATAAAAAACATACCTTAAAAAAAGAAATATATGCTTCAGAAATGAGGCCTATCAAGAACAGACCGCATTTAGCACATCTGAGCCAGTACCCACCACAAAAGGATAAATGGCAACTGAGAATATATGAAGAGAAAGTGAATGGAATAAGGAAAACACTAGGCCATGTGTAACTCACCTCAGGAAAGTAAAGACTATAAACAGGATGTGTTATCTTTGACTTGGTTTCCAGTAGAGCTCGTTCCTTTCGCTGTATACTTTGTTGTAATTCTTGCCACTCCTAGTAAAATAAAAATTAAATGAAGTCAAGTATGTTTTCAATCATTTTGAGGAGCTTCCATCTTATTCTATACTAGAGGCCCGGGGCACGAATTCATGCACAGGTGGGGTCCGGCCGATCCGCCCCAGTCAGGCTGAGATTGGCCCAGGCTGGCCCGGGGGTGCTGCCCCTGTCACGCACAGAGCAGGGCCCATCAGGGGGGTTAGGGCTCCGTACCCTGTCACGCACAGAGCAGGGTCAATCAGGAGGTTGGGGAGCTTCCCCTATCAGGCACAGAGCAGGGCCAATCAGGGGGTTGAGGAGCTCCCCCCTGTCACTCACAGAGTAGGGCCGATAGGGGAGTTGGGGCACGGCCCCCTGTCACACTCAGGGCAGGGCGGATCAGGGGGTTGGGGTGCCGCCACTGTCACACTCAGGGCAGGGCCGATGGGGAGGTTATGGTTCTACCCCATCACACACAGAGCAGGGCCTGTAGGGGGGGGGGGGGTTGGGGCGCCGCCCTCTATCACCCACAGAGCAGGGCCAATCAGGGGGTTGGGGCGCCACCACTCTCACACTCAGGGCAGGGCCAATGGGGAGGTTATGGCTCTACCCCATCACACATAGAGCAGGGCCCGTGGGGGGGGGGGGGGGGGCGCTCCCTGTCACACACAGAGCAGGGCCGATCAGGGGGTTGAGGCACTGCACCCTGTCACACACAGAGCCGCAGGGCAATCAGGGGGTTGGGGAGCTCCCCCCTATCAGGCACAGAGCAGGGCTGATCAGGGGGCTGGGGCACCTTCCCCTGTCACGAACAGAGCAGGGCGGATAGGGAGGTTGTGGCCCTGCCCCCTGTCACACACAGAGCCGCAGGGCGATCAGGGGGTTTGGGCACTGCCCCCTGTCACGCTGATCCCGGTGCTGGGAGGCCTCGCGGCTCCACTGATCCCGGTGCTGGGAGGCATATTACCCTTTTACTATATAGGATAGAGGCCTGGTGCATGGGTGGGGCTGGCTGGTTTGCCCTGAAGGGTGTCCTGGATCAGGGTGGGGGTCCCCACTGGGGTGCCTGGCCAGCCTGGATGAGGGGATGATGGCTGTTTGCAGCTGGTCACACACCCTTCAGGGTGGGGGTCCCCACTGGGGTGCCTGGCCAGTCTGGGTGAGGGGCTGAGGGCTGTTTTCAGGCCGACTGAAGCTCCTAACTGCTCCTTTTTTTCTTTTCTTTTTTTAATTCTGGGCCAGGTTTAGCTCTGGCTCCAGCTCTGAGGCCTCTGCTGCTGAAAGAAGGTATCTGGTTTGTTTAGGTTCTATAATCGAAACTCTGTATCAACTCCAGCTCTGAGATCCCGGCCGGCTGAAAGCTGGTTTCTGGAGTTTTGCTTAGCTTCTATATTTGTTACAATGTTTCTTAAACTGCAAGCTCAGACGCCGGCAAGTCAGGCGGGGAATGTTGGAGTCCTCCGTCACTGAAGCAAGCCTCATGTTAGTTTCAAGCTGCCTGGCTGCCGGCCGCCATCTTGGCTGGCAGTTAATTTGCATATCTCCCTGATTAGCCAATGGGAAGGGTAGCGGTCGTACGCCAATTACCATGTTTCTCTTTTATTAGATAGGATTATTCCTGAAAATGCTAACTACTGCTAAGTTCAGTTCCACCAATCTGATCATGTCCCTGCTCAAAACTTACAACACTACTTTTCATGAATCAAATCTAACTCGTTTAGCATGACCACAGTTCCATTCACAATCTGACCTGGCCCATCTCTCCAGTCTCCAATCACTGCCTTCCTCCTTGCACTCTTTATTACAGTCATTTCAAGCTACCTAGACTTCTCTGAACTCACAAAGCTATTTCACTTCTCCTAAACCAGCCGTGGGCAAACTACGGCCTGCGGGCCGGATCCGGCCTGTTTGAAATGAATAAAACTGAATAAAAAAAAAAGACCATACCCTTTTATGTAATGATGTTTACTTTGAATTTATATTAGTTCACACAAACACTCCATCCATGCTTTTGTTCCGGCCCTCCGGTCCAGTTTAAGAACCCATTGTGGCCCTCGAGTCAAAAAGTTTGCCCGCCCCTGTCCTAAACCCTGTTTCCATTTTTGTTTTCCTCTTTCTCTACCTGACAAATTCCTACTCATTATTCTTTCAGGAGCATCTAAAGCGGTGGTTCTCAACCTTCCTAATGCCATGACCCTTTAATACAGTTCCTCATGTTGTGGTGACCCCCAACCATAAAATTATTTTTGTTGCTACTTCATAACTGTAATTTTGCTACTGTTATGAATTGTAATGTAAATATCTGATAGGCAGGATGTATTTTCATTGTTACAAATTGAACATAATTAAAGCATAGTGATTAATCACAAAAACAATATGTAATTGTGTATGTTTTCCGATGGTCTTAGGCAACCCCTGTGAAAGGATCATTCGATCCCCAAAGGGATAGCAACCCACAGGTTGAGAATCGCTGATCTAAAGCCTGAAGTATAAGTCCCTAAATTCCACCAATTTCCCTCTGCTCTCTCCTTGGTGCTATAACTGCACCCTGCTCTAAATGTGCATAATTTCTTTTGTACTCTAATGTTTTGTTTACCGCCTTGCCCACTACCCTACTATCATTCAAGGGCAGAAACTGTTTCACATTTGGCTTTGCCCTCCTGTCATCTAATGCAGTGCTTGGAATATGACAGATAATGGATAATTATTCGTTATTTGTATAATTTTTGTCAATTGAATGAATGCATTTTTGGTCATCTGAAGAGACTTGAATCCTAAGAATCTACTCTTCTAACCCTAATAGACTCAGAAAGGAATACGTAAACTCTTTCTCAAAGCAAGGCTGGGGATAATTTGATAGGTTTTAATTTTCTGACTATCAGTTTAATTCCCAAAGTATGGCCCAGCCTTCGTGGCTCAGTGGTTGAGTGTTGACCTATGAACTAGGGATCATGGTTTGATTCCCAGTCAGGGCACATGCTTGGGTTGAGGGCTTGGTCACCAGCGGGGGGCATGCAGGAGGCAGCCGATCAATGGTTCTCTCATCATTAATGTCTCTGTGTCTCTCTCTCTCTCTCTCTCTCTCTCTCTCTCTCTCTCTCTCTCTTTCTCTGAAATCGATAAAAATATATTTTTTTAAAAAAATCATCGTTATTTGTTTTCCCACCACTCCCAAAAGCAGTACATTATTTCCTTTACTTTCATCCTTGCCCTTTATCTCTTTTTCTCTCCTAAACCACTTATTTTAGATAAATGGCTCAGTCAAAAAGAACAACACAAACATAAAGAAAACAGTTGATCAATTAGAGATCATTTACTGGGAATTTGTAATGACCATTATTTGTCCACCAAATATTCTTTTCTATTGTCCTCCCATAAATCATGTGAAACTTAATGCCATGCCATGAGATTTTTTTTCTATTCTCTATAACTTCACAATCTTATTAAGAAACTCCTCTTTCCTTAATGTCCAATATACCTCTTGAAATAAGGTGGCTTTCTATAAATGTTAGCATTTCCCTTAACCAACCTCTTGACATTAGAGTTAACAGTAATGTTTCTTTACCCTAACCATTACATTGAACTTCTGAGAGACTCTTCCCAGTAAACTGATACCTATTTCATAACCCACTTTTCTTTACTCATACTTCCAGACATCTCTAGAACTGAAAACTGCTTTAAGAGATTGAACTGACGTCACCTCAGACCCGGATCCTAATCTACTTAGCAATCCAAACTTTAAGAAAATTAGCCAGCCGAAACCGGTTTGGCTCAGTGGATAGAGCGTCGGCCTGCGGACTGAAGGGTCCCAGGTTCGATTCCGGTCAAGGGCATGTACCTAGGTTGCGGGCACATCCCCAGTAGGAGATGTGCAGGAGGCAGCTGATTGATGTTTCTCTCTCATCGATGTTTCTAACTCTCTATCTCTCTCCCTTCCTCTCTATAAAAAATCAATAAAATATATTTAAAAAAAAAAAAAAAGAAAAGAAAATTAGCCAGCTGGTGTTGCTCACTTGTTTGAGCATTGTCCCACAGAAGGTCACTGGTTCTATTCCCGGTCAGGGCACATGCCTGGGTTGCAAGCTCAATCCCCCGTAGAGGGTGTGCAGGAGGCAGCCAAGATGTTTTTATCTATCCCTCTCTCTGAAATCAATAAAAACATTTTGAAAAATAGCAAGAAAATTAGCATTTCCAATCCTTGTTAGAAACTATTTTCTTTATAATTCTGACCACTATTCCTCAAATATATTCCTAAAAAACAATACAGGGTTATAAAATATACTGGAAACAAACTGACAAGCAAAGAAACAAGCAAATAAACAATAACAATAACCAAAATTATCATTAGAGTTATAATTCCAATTATTTAAATCCCTAAGTCTTACTGCTTCATCATCTTTGTTTTGTTTTTCATCTTGCTCTCTATCGGAGTCTCTGTCACTACCATCCTCTTTTTCACTCTGGGAGTCTCTATTTTCTTCTTCTTCAGAGTCACTGCCTTTGTCAGAAACTTCTTCTTCATCTTCCTTTACTGCAGCTTCCTAAAAGGAAAAAGCAAGCACAAAGGTCCTGAGTGTCTCAATGACTATATGACTCCGAGTCCCTGAATGTCACTTATTTAATATAGCTCAAATCACAATTTCACTACTTCTGTAGAATTTTAGAGAATTATAAACATTCTTACTTATAAATATGTGGGAGTCAGGCTGAAAGGCTTTAACATTTGGCTTATCTGTCTATTGTTAGACATTTTATTCATTTTTTATACTTTGTAAAATAAAAATATTTTATTCCTATTTGCAAAGTATACTACCACAATGGCTAAGATGGCTCATACTTCAAAAACATACATTATGCAATATATTTATTTGAAGAGGGAAAATAGAAAGTTTATAGAAAAGTACTGTTTAAATAGTTCAATATTATCTTCTATAACTGATAGAGTATAATGCGGTAAGGAAAGCTAATATCCTAAACAAAATACTTACTAGTCTATTTCAAGAAGTAAAAAAAAAAAAGAACAGCAAAATTCAACGCAAAAAAAGTAGAAATAAAACAGATCAGAAATCAATTAAAGAGGAAGCAGATATACAGAAGGGAAACCCAAACAAAACTAAGTTAGTTCTTTGGAAATATTAATAAAATTGGTAAGTGGGAAGCGGGGGCATGCTAGAAGGGGTCAATGGGAAACTATAGGGGATATATGTAATACTTTCAATAATAAAAGGTTTTTTTAAAAAGAAAGACAAAAAAATTTCCTTGGATAATCCATAACATGAATAATTCAAATATAGATAAATGAGAGTTGGCAATATATCACAGAGATAATTTTGTATTTTTCAGAAAGAAAACCAAAGTTCTCTTTAAAATAATAGTAAATAAATAAAATTGATAGGCATTATTAGGCAAGACTAACTGACCAAAGGGAAAACAGATAAAAAATACAAATTACCAACATTAGGAATAAGAGACATAACTACATATCCAAAAGACATTAAAAATTAAGGACATTATTATTAGCTTTATGTCAATAAAGTTGATAAATCAAGAAGAAATGGACAAATTCCTTGAAAAACACAATTTTGAAAATTGATATAAGAAAAAAGTAGAATATTTTGAGAATAAGAACTCTATAACTAAACCCAGATGGCTTCTCTAGATAATTCTTCCAAATAAGAAAGAAACAAATCCAATCTTACATATACTCTTCCAGGAAAAAGAAAGATAAACTACTTCCTAATTTGTTTAATGAGGTAAACCCAATACAAAACATGTGAAGGATATTACAAGAAAGGAGAATGATAAACCAATATTTTTTCATAAAAACAGATTTAGAAATCCTAAACAAATATTATCAAATCCAGATAAATATAAAAAAAGGATACTATGTTATGACAAATGAGATTTGTTCCAGTAATGCAATGATGGTTTAAAAATTTTTAACACATCAATATAATTCACCATATTAACAGAAAGGAAAAAAATCAAAAAAATTGTCTCATTAGATGGAGTTTAAAAAACTTTTAATACAAATCAGTATCTGTTCATAAAAATTCTCAGCATGGAAAGAGAGGGGAACACTTTCTTAAAATGATAAAGGATGTCTACAAAAACTTTAGAGCTAACATCACACTTAATATGAAATAATGTTTGCTTTCTCCCCGAGATCAATAAGACATGGATAACCATCTTCACTTCTAATCAACATTACACTGAAAGTTCTAGCCAGTATGTTAACAGAAAAAGGAAGAGCATACAGATTTAAAAAGAAAAAAAAGCTAAACTGTTATTTCCAGATGGCATAATTGTATACATAGAAAATCTTTTTAAAAACATCTACAAATGGTGAGAATTACTGTCAATTCATCAAGACTCTTTGATATAAGGTCAGTATTTAGAAAATAACTGTATTTCTATACATCAACAATTAAATATTGCAGAATGATTTTTTATTATTATTTTTTTTGGTAGCTTAAACCAGCAGAAGTTTATTGTCTTACAGTTCTGGGGGTTAGAAGTCTGAAATCCAGGTGCTGGCAGGGCCATGTTCTCTATGACTGTTCTATGCCAATGCCACACTATCAATTAATTAATTATGGTGGTTTTATGTTAAGTCTTGAAATATGGTAGTGTAAGTCCTCAAACTCTTCACTTCTTCAAAATGTTCTTGACTACCATATTTAGATCCTTTGCATTTCCAGCTAAAACAATTTTTTTTTTTTGGGTGAAAATTGATTTAGCTGGAAATGCAAAGGATCTAAATATGGTAGTCAAGAACATTTTGAAGAAGTGAAGAGTTTGAGGACTTACACTACCATATTTCAAGATTTAACATAAAACCACCATAATTAATTAATTGATAGTGTGGCACTGGCACAAGAATAGACAAATAACCAATGAAATGATTTAAGAATCCATAAACACATCTGCACATACACTGTTATAACCATTTGTTTTAAAACAAATCACCATTGCAATTCAGACAAGAAAGGATGATCCTTTTAACAGATGATGCTAGAATAACTGGTCTATAATCCCTATCTCACACTACTCACAAAAATTAATTCAAGATGTATCACAGTGCTAAATATAACAAGTAAAATAATAATACTTCTAAAAGAGAACAAAAATATCTTCATGTTCTTGGGATAGGCAGAAATGTCTTAACCAGGACACAAAAGAACTAATCATAAAAGACTGATGAAATAGACTTCATTAAAATTAAGAACCACCAAAAGCTACCATGAAGAGTAAAAAAGGACTAATATCTAGAATATATAAAGGAATCCTACAATTCCATAAGAAGACAAACAACCCAATAGAAAAAGAGGATATCCAAAATTATCAGTAAGCATATGAACAGGTGCTCTATATCATTAATCTGGCAAATACAAATAAAAACCACACACAGGGATACTATAACAGATCTACCACAGGTGGTTAAAATAAAAAAATAAAAATAAAAAAAGATTGGTAAAACCAAATACTGGTGAGGATGTGGAACAAATGGACTCATTATTTGCTGGCAGGAGCATAAAACGGTACAACTTTGGAAGACAGATTCTTTCAATGAGTTAAAACACACACCAATTTTATGACCCAGTAATTCCACTGCTAGGTACCTATCCAAGAAAAATAAATGTCCACAAAATGAAATGTACAAGAATAAGCATAGCACCTTTATTCATAAGAGGCAAAAACTAGAAACAATCCACATGTCCACCAACTACAGAAGAAATTGTAGTATATCCATGCAATGGAATAACACACACACACACACAAGAATGAACTACTGCTATATATAATACAAATGAGTATCACAAATATGATGTTAAATCAAAGCAACCAAACATAAGTCCACTTACATGAAGTTTAAGAACAGGCAAAACTCATCTATGGTAATAATAGAATAGAGGGGAGAGTACAAAGGTGGGTGGAAGGGTCATTGATTGAAAATGGGCACAAGGGAGCTTTCTAGGATGGTGGTAAGGTTTTATATCTTGATCTGGGTATCATGAGTACATACATATGTAAAATTTCAGGAGCTGCACACATAAGATTTGAACATTTTAGTATATGTTATACCTCAATAAAGATAATTATATAATAAAAATAATTAACTTACATTCCCAATGACTCCATTTGCTTGCTTTTGTTTCTGTTGCTTTGATTGTGATAAGGGAATAGGTATAGGTTTTTTTTTTACAGTTTTCTTTTTTTTTGATTTAGTGGTTTTCTTGGGTCCTTTACTCTTCTGTTGCCATCCTCCTTTTGTCCTGTTCTTGTTAGTATCGCCTTGCTGTAAATCACATACACACTCAGAAATTATAGCAATAGTTTCATTTGGGAGTCAGGGTAATTTTTAAGTGGGAATGGCTAAAGTAAACGTTTTCATAAACTGAATGATTCTTCCACAGAAATGTAAATCAATCAGAAAACTAAAGAAAGCATTCCTATCACCAGGAAAGAACTGTAAGAAAACTCAAGTTTTTACCACATCTTCTGCTGGCTGTTCCTCTGCGGCACAGATGGACTGCTCCTTTTCAAATACTTCCTAGAGGAAGCAAGAAGGAAAGTATAATCCATCAACCTGCACTCATCCTTCAGGTAAGCAAAACAATCTTTCAAATATATCACCAGTAAGTTTTTAAATTGGTGACAATCGGGGTGGAGGGAGGGAGAGAACAGGAAAATTAGCAATCACTAAATGATACTTCAGACATTACCTTCTGAAATATCTCACATCTGTCCTGAATATTTTTTGAAAAGTACACTGTACTGAAATTTATAAATGCAATGACTTAAGATATGTACACTCATTATAAACTCAAAAATATTTTAGTTTAAATTTTCACTTTTATTCTAATAGTAATTAGACATGACTATTTTAATGTTATGAAAATTTGAATATATTACAATATTTTCCAACATGAAAACTTCATGAGACTAATATTAGTTTATTCTTTATTGTCAGTGATATTGCTCATTGGGTCTATAACTAAGAAGTGGAACACCATGAAAATCCACATACCCTAAAGACATCCATCCACCATACAATCCATTTAGAATCAGTACATTTAGCATTTAAATTCCAGTAAGAATCTACACGAGAAGATGACAAGTGATGTGGGTTGTGTTTCATAAATTCCTTGAAATTATTAAAGCTAACAAGTAAAAACAATGACAATTGTTAGGCTCTAAACTGTTTGCCTAATTTAGGGGTCTGCTTTTTAAACAGTTTATTGGAACACAATGCCCATTTGTGAGTTCAGTAGTTGCTACAGAGACTACATGGGCTATATCACAAAAAATACTTATTAATTGGACCTTTACAGAAAGATTTGCCAACTTCTTATCTAATTCTATCATCTCTGGTTCATTTCTTCATTTATTACTGGGTTTTAATTCTTAATTACTCTGAGGTACAGTTCACACAAAAACTGAATAAATAGTTGATTCTTTCCCTTCCTCCAAAGCAGTTTTGTTTTCCTTCTACCAGTTATTCCAGGTACCAACAGCCCAAGGCCGATATCTTGTTCATTTCTCAGGCTGGGAACTCCAAAGTATGTAGGTAATATAAATTTGGATTCTAAAACCAATCCTGATCACTAACTTAGTTTCCTCTTCTCCCAGAAGGCACCTCTCATCCAGAATCTGTAACACAAATGCTTCCTTACCACTTGCTACTATAAAATCAACATATTTTGATTTGATATAGCCTACTACAAAAGATGATTCTCCTACCAGAGGTTTTAGACATAGAGTTTAAGTGCAGCAAATGTTTCCTACAGATGCTCACAGATCTCAGAGCAGAACAGGCTAAAATCTACCATTAGTTGAATAAACTGAGTTGAAATACTATAGTCTATTAAAAACAAATTACAACTAAAGTTATAACTTGGGAAGTAACATAAATGTAATAGAAACTGAGAAACACAAGATGCAGGAAACATATTAATATGATCACATTTAATAAAGAAGAATGAGAAAAATACCAGTATATATATATATATACATATATGCACTGTAAAGATCCAGGTAGTAAATACAAATAGAACCAATGAAGAAACATATGAAAGGATATACACAAGACTAAATTCTAGTCATTGGAGATGGACAAGGGGTTTCCTGAGAGAAGTGAGAGAAGGGATCTGTGAAAAAAACATCATTTAAGCCCTGGCCAGTGTTCTCAGTGGTTAGAGCATTGGCCTAACCACCAAGGGCAGCAGGTTAAATTCCCAGTCAAGGGCATGTACCTGGGTTGCAGGTTTGATCTCTGGCCCTGATCAGGGTGCCTGCAGGAGGCAACCAATTGATGTTTCTCTCTCACATTACTGTTTCTGTCTATCTCTCTCTCTCTCTCTCTCTCTCTCTCTCTCTCTCTCTCAAAATCAATGGAAAAAATATCCTCAGGTGAGGATTATAAAAAAAGAATTTAACTTTATGGATAGTCATGCATTAGGATATCTAAAGGGGCGAGGTTCAAAACTGATAATATCAGAAGGGTAGGATTTTAAGTAATATTCACTTCTTCCTTTACTTTTTGCAGTGCCAAATTTTTTCTCAAACAGCATGAATTTTTCACATTAAAATTGGGTATTTTCATTATAATTTTTAAATTTTTTAAATAAAAAATTCTCTAAAGCAGCGGTCGCCAACTGGTGGTCCGTGGACTACTGGTGGTCCGTGAGGTCCAAAAGGTTGGTGATCGCTGCTCTAAAGAATGGACTGAAAAAGAATAGGTGATGAAATTCTCAACAATAATCAATAGTAAACTCTGTATAGCACTTAAAAATTTAAGAATTATACCCACATTACTGTTATTATAATGTTTTATATAAGAAATTAAACCATCACATGAAAAATTAATTTATTTTCCAAAGTTTTCTTGTGTGAAAACTCATATGAAAAACTATGAGAGTTAATTTAAAATTTCAAAACAGCTAACATAACTTGCAAAATTAGATTTTGCTATTCAATAGTTTTAATCTGAGAATATATAGCTTAAAATGAGAAATTAAATATAAAAACCTTAATACATAACTTTTTTTCCCCTTTTATTATATTTATTAGGGTGACATTGGTTACATAACACATAACTTAAAGCATAAAAATACAAATAGACTACTTACTGCCATTGTTTGCCTTGTCAATTTAACCAATACTGTAACTAGGGATCCTACTGTGATGTTGTTGCTGTCTTCATCATCCAATACTGTAAGATGAAAGAAAAAATTTGAGTTAAAAATTAAGCTTTATGTCAATGCAAACAATAAAACTTAACCTACCCAAATGAAGTTGATACTTCAGTATTTCAAATATGTTATATTTTAAACTTAAAAAAATAATGTGATTGCCTACTTTGTATAAGGCCCTCCAATAGATGCCTTCAGCAATGTGCTCATTTAAACCCTTGAACTAGCTCTATGGAGGATTACTGTTACTTCTACTTTAAACAGGAAACTAAGGTTCAGAAATAAAGTAAAATGCCTAAGGTCACATAATGGCTAAACTGGCACTACCACGTTTCAAACCCAGGCTGCTTTTTTTAAACAAAGTATAATGTGAGGGCTACCATACCGTAGCTTTCTCTCACAGTGATATTAAAAATAGGGTTATGTTATTCCATTGAATTGTGCAAACCTTACAGTCAAAAGATTTTACCTGTATGATCAGTGCTGCCTATCAGAATAAACTAAAACTAGTATTATTCTATCTAATAAAAGAGCAATATGCAAATTGACCATCACTCCAACACACAAGATGGCCACCCCCATGTGGTCAAAGATGGCCACCACAAGATGGCCGGCAGGGAAGGGCAGTTATGGGCAATCAGGCCAGCAGGAGAGGGCAGTTGGGGGCGACCAGGCTGGCAGGGGAGCAGTTAGGCGTCAATCAGGCTGGCAGGGGAATGGTTAGGGGGTGATTAGGCTGGCAGGCAGAAGTGGTTAGGGGCAATCAGGCAAGCAGGCAGGCGAGCAGTTGGGAGCCAGCAGTCCTGGATTGTGAGAGGGATCCCAGATTGGACAGGGTGCAGGCTGGGCTGAGAGACACGCCCGTGCCCCCCCACCCCCCCCCACCCTGTGTATGAATATCATGCACCGGGCCTCTAGTAAGCCACATAAAAAAGGATTAATTTTTAAGGGAAGAACTTCAAGATATTTAAAACTATATTTTGCAATGTTTTTGCAATTAATTTTATTTATTTTTTTTATTGATTTCAGAGAGGAAGGGAGAGGGAGGGAGAGATAGAAACATCAATGGTGAGAGAGAATCATACATCAGCTGCCTCCTGCACACCCCACACTGGGGATCGAGCCCACAACCAAGCATGTGCCCTAACTGGGAATTGAACCATGACCTCCTGTTCATAGGTCAATGCTCAACCACTGAGCATACCAGCGGTCTGCAATTAATTTCTTAAAACCATGTTTGCCACACACAGCCCCAAAAGTCTAATAATGAAATAAATTTTAATATTAAAATAACATTAAAATAAACTAACAGTAAAATTAATATAACTTACCAAACATGATCCTGCATTCAAATGTATTCTTTTTTTTTTTCTACAGATTTTACCTATAAATGTTTTCTTCACTATGCATTTCTGCCTCCAGGTTTTTCTAAATTTGTCATGTGTATTTTACACAGCTTTAGATGAGCATACTCTGTTCTAGTCTGCACTGACACACCACCAGTTGGAAAAGAAGGCCTCCAACAACCTATAATTACTATCTAAATTACTGGCTGTGAAGTGCAATGGCTGGGCATCAAAAAAAGGTACAATATCGTTTCTTCTGGAAGTCTCCATTACCTCAAACAAAATCTGGGCTACATATTCATCAAGATTGCAAAGCTGTATGTACATGAGCACTGCACATGAATCAACAGCTCTAACAGTGTTTACCTGCCTTCTGACACTTTAAAGCAGCAGTTCTCAACCTGTGGGTCGCGACCCCTTTGGGGGTCAAACGACCCTTTCACAGGGGTTGCCCAAGATCATTGGAAAACACATATATAATTACATATTGTCTTTGTGATTAATCACTATGCTTTAATTATGTTCAATTTGTAACAATGAAAATACATCCTGCATATCACATATTTACAAATCATAACAGTAGCAAAATTACAGTTATGAAGTAGCAACGAAAATAATTTTATGGTTGGGGTCACCAGAACATGAGGAACTGTATTAAAGGGTCGTGGCATTAGGAAGGTTGAGAACCACTGCTTTAAAGTGAAGAAGAGCTTACTCTATATATCCTCCAGCAATGTGGGAAAAGGGATCCACCATCTCCAACACTGGATCATGCAGATGCCCCTTTCTGCTTCTATAATTCTACTCTCTCTCCAGTAACTACACTACTCATATTATACATTTGGATAGCATAGTAAAAATATAAATCATCTATACAAAATACTATGGAAAGAAACACATCATAACGTTCTGCAGTAAGACAGAATAATCTTACCTTACACATCTAATAAAGAATCTCTCCCATTGGCCCATGAAATAAAGGGTCACGGGTTTGATTCCTGGTTAAGGGCATGTACCTCAGTTGCAGGCTCTACCCCCGGGCTGGGTCAGGGTGGATGTGGAAGGCAACCAATCATGTCTCGCTCTCACATCAATGTTTCTCTCTCTCCCACTCCTCTCTCCCTTTCACTCTAAAAATCAATGGAAAAATATCCTTGAGTGAAGATGAAAAAATAATCTCTCCAACATTCATTTTTTTAAAGCAGCATGTACTTTTTACAACCCTTGATTATTATCAAAGAGTATCTCTTCAGTCTCAAACTAGATGTATTAATAGCTTCTAATTAAATTATTATGGTCCTGAATGAAGCTTTGTATGTTTAATGTTTGAAAACTCATGGGCCTACAAGGAAATCCTAACACCCCAACCCCATCAAAGCAGCACCAGTCTTCACTACATGTATCCTATACACCAGCCAAATTGAAACCAGATTGCAATTTAGCTTCCTTTCTCAAACACCCAATCTTTGAGAGCCTTCTATCTTGATTCCAATTAGAATGTAAACTCAGTAAGGCAGAATCTTTGTCATACCACTGCTTCCCCAGCACTCAGAAGTAGTAGTGTCATTCAATATTTGTTGAGTGAATAAATGCACAATGTCTGTGCCATTCACTTAACACTTAGCCCAAGATTCCTTATTTTAATCCTTGTTTATGACCTATATCCCCAATCCTATATAATAAAAGCATAGTATGCAAATTGTCCCCTTGACTGGGAGTTCATCCGGGGCCAGCCGGGGGAAGGGAGGAAGTACCCAGCCGGCAGCCGGTAGCTACTAGGGACCCTACCAGTGCATTAATTTTGTGCACTGGGCCTCTAGTTAGACTATAAGCCCTTTAAAGACTGAAACCATTCCTGATGCATGTTTGTATTCTTGGTCCCACAAGAATGTTAGCACAATAGTAGCTTAATAAATGTCAAAGCTCAGAACAATGCCAGAATGAAGGAATGAAGCAGATAATCTCTAATTTGGTCATTTCACGATATTATTCAGCTATTGAAATGGGAACAAACAGGGCAATTATGAAGGTGAAATAAACAATCTCTATTTTTTTCACTCCAAGCACACACAGAGGTAAGTCAAGAAAAACACGTGCAATGTAGCACAGACTATGATAATTTTCAAGGTTTCATGAACATAAATAAGCTGGAGTTTTTAATTAATGTTTGAACTAAGCAATGTTTTTCACACTAATGGATACATTTTAAGTTTCTTTCATTACATCTGGAACTCTTTCATTCCCATCACGAGGATAATAAAAGTAGGACTCTGTGCTCTCAAAACTATTAAGTGTACATCATTTTCCATCACAGTAAATCTGACAGGTAAATAGGTAATTAGATTCTGTAAGTCTAATTACAAGTTATGTTATTAAATGAAGTGCTTGGAGCATTCTGAGTCAAGCAAACAAGAACCATTCTATCAAAAGGGAAGCAATATTCCACAAGGAAACCTCCCACTTACCTTGTGATTTTATGTCCATAGTTATATGTGGGAAACTCCCAAGCACAGCCATAACCTCTTCATATTTTTCATCTTCTAGGAAGTGCAATAGATATTGACGATCTGTTTCTTTTAAACTCACCAAATCCTGAATAGTCTTAATTTTGTACTGAATTTAAAAAATAAAAGAAAATAAATCCTAAAGTCATAAAACATTTCATAAAAGAAAACTATTAGCATGTTTACTAAAACACAATCCAAGAACTTGTAGAAAAATGTTAAGATTATATATATTTCAAAGCAGCAAATAGCAGCTTTATAGCATTTCATGGCCTTTTTCTCCAAGGAAATTTAAATTTAGTATTTATTTATTATAGAGTTAATACAGAGTTATATTTTTTAATTAGAAAAAATAAAAGTTATAGGGAAAAATTAGTATTCATATAGAATCTTGACCCATGCAAGACCTACTGTCATTTCAGTGCTCAGTTTTCTGACCTTTATTCAATTTTAATGCTAAGAATATGACTTTATCTCCAAGTACAGCTGTATCCTATGGAATATTCTCATTTTTTTATTGTCTAAATATAGCTATTTGTTATTACAGTAATATGTATCTTATCTAAATGGATACTTAGGAGTGTTCTTTAATTTTCAGGTGTTTAGTGCTAGTCACTAATTTTTATTTTCACAGACATGGATTAGATCACAAGGTATGTGAAATGCCTGCTTTTGGATTCTTAAATCTTCAATTGTAACCTAAAATGTGATCGAACTTATAAGCATAATAACACAATTACTTGAAAGGAGAACTCTAATGCAAATTTCTAATATACATTAGTTTTACCTTAATATACTATCAATCTAATGTACATCTTCTGCCTACTTTGTCTAATGCATACAAAGTAATGTTTAAAATCTACAAAATTACGATTTTGTTCAGTATTTCCTTGTGTTTCCTCAAGTTTTTCATTTATCTTAAGATTCATTATCATGTCTTTACTATAAACCGTGTTTTCTAAATAAGAATTATCTTGCCCAGCCGGTGTGGCTCAGTGATTGAATACTGACTTATGAACCAGGAGTTCATAGTCAGGGCACATACCCAGGTTGCGGCCTGAATACCCAGTAGGGGGTGTGCAGTAGGCAGCCAATCAATGCTTCTCTCTCATCATTGATGTTTCTATCTCTCCCTCTCCCTTCCTTTCTGAAATCAATTTAAAAAAGTATTTAAAATATATATATGTATATTTTTAAAGCATTATCTTTATTTGATCTACTTATTTTTAATATATTTTATTGATTTTTTTTTTACAGAGAGGAAGGGAGAGGGAGAGAGAGTTAGAAACATTGATGAGAGAGAAACATCGATCAGCTGCCTCCTGTACACTTCCCACTGGGGATGTGCTCACAACCAAGGTACATGCCCTTAACTGGAATCGAACCTGGGACCTTTCAGTCCGCAGACCGACACTATCCACTGAGCCAAACTGATTAGGGCTAATCTACTTATTTTGAACACTTATTCTGTTCACTCTAAACTAATAAACCACTGCCCAACATTTAACCCACAAATAAAATTATTGCAAAGTATACAGTGCATTTTTACTTAGTGCATTTAATTTTAGTAACATAATATAAAGAACAAAGTGTTAACTGCTAAAAATGCACTGACCCCGTACTAAAATCACTTACAGTAGTAAGATATTAAACAGCTACCTGACAGAACCACTTGAGGGAGTTTCAGAATGTTTAAGATATTTTAAATCTAAGTAATTCATAGTAACAATTTCTAGAAAACTTTCATTCATGTTATCTTTAAGTGACATGACAAACTGCTTAAAACCAATTTTAAAGTAGCAAAGAATTACCTTTTTATGATTAGAAACCCTTCTAAGATTGTCCTCTTCAATGTGAGGGAGTTGCAGAAGGGGAGACTTGAACTGCTGAAGGCCTTGCACCGCCATCTGAGAAAGCTTCATGCAGTTTTCTAGGGATGCCAAAGTTGGAGCACGAAACTCCCTTTCTTAGAAAGAATAGGAAGAAAAGAAAAGACAGAGCTGGACTTTCTACATGTTGAGGAGTACACAATGCATGACAAACTAAGATTCACTATCCCTAACCCCTCAAATTTTAAAATCTTATTGTTGATTTTCCTTTAAAAGTTATTGGATAAAATACCACACACACACACACACACACACACACACTTGGTTAAATGCATATTATCCAGCAACAACCATTGATTTAATAGAAAAATTCTTCGCATTACCTCCAAAAACAGCAAGTTATCAGAAATTATCACTATCAAGAATATACTCACAGCATGCCAATAACTGACATCATCCATATTAACAAACAACAACCACTGCCTCCTTTCTTAAGGGCCTCTCTCCCCCTTTCCATTACAGACCACAAACTCCCTCATTCTTTTTTTCCTCATGCAAAAAAAGCACTACATATCAGAGGAATCATCATTACATCACTTAAAGAATTATTTTAAACTCATTGTTAAAATACAGAATAACCAAACTCTAACAAAATCAGAAGAAAAGGATATTTTAAATCTTTCAAATAATAATAAAACATGAAAAAAATAAAATTAAAACATAAGTTGTGATAAACACTTACATGGTGGAAAATATAAGGAAAAAAATAAGAAAAATCATAAATAAATGTGAGAAAGCTGATTCAATTTATAGACAGAATTACGGGAAGTACCCATAAATCTTAAAACTATGAAGAGTAATCTACATATGCTTGCAAGAAAAAGTACAACATAATTAATTACATCTCCTCCTCACCTTCACGGCTCCGAGCCATTATTATTAGTTGGCAGATTACATTAACCATTTCTTGAAGTAGGGCAGGGCATTTTTTCAGCATAAATTGCTGATCTGCAAAACAATGAAAAACCTGACAAATCATTCTATCTTTATAATTAAAACATCTTTATCACCTATAGTCCAAGACTAATACAAATTTAAGGTATCCTACAAATATTTCCCATGACCTCAGAATTTTACAGGTTGAACCTAATAGTATCTACTCAATATATCATCACAATCAGTCAGAAAACCCAAACTCAGATTAGATGTTTCAAAGACCAAATTTTAATATTATGGTATTAGGCTTTATCAATCGACTCCCTACCCAATTAATCTTTAGCTTAATCTTACTATATTTAAGAACTTTAAGAATTTCCTTCTTCTATGAGTAGAATTATGGATAAATCCAAAGGCTAAGATTGAGAATAAATGCACAGAGAGGAAGAGGAGAAATGAGGGGGAGATGCTTTCATTTATCCTATATAATAAAAGCCTAATATGCAAATAGACTGAATGGCAGGATGACCAGCGGAATGACTGGTCACTATGATGTGCACTGACCATCAGGGGGCAGACACTCAACACAGGAGCTACCCCCAGCCTGCAGGCCCCAACCAGCAGCAACGGTGGGGGGCGGGGCCAGCAAGGGGGCAGCACCAAGACAGCCAAGACATGTGCAAGCGGGGGCCCCAATCATCCCACCGGTTGCCCCACAGATTGGCCCTGATTGCCGGCCAGGCCTAGGGACCCTACTATGCATGAATTTCATGCACTGGGCGTCTAGTACTGCATATAATAGTTAACCATTAAGATCATCCATTGGATTAATACTCAATCTAAAAAAATTTTGTTCCCTACTTCTTAGGTATTTGGTAACAATGGAGATGGTTGGTATCTGTACAAAATATTAGAAACAGAATTATTATTTAACTTGCAACTCTAATAACAATGCTTAAATAGTGCTCTCTCATGCCATCATAAGCAAACTATCCTATCACCAATCACTGAGCATCAACTGGCCTTGTTTTCAGAGGCATTTGATTGCATTACTGACTTAAAAGGATCAATCAAAAAGAACATTTATTCCCTAAGAATAACTTTCTTTTATAACTTCAATTGAGCCCTTGTGTGGCTCAGTGGATAGAGCATCAGCCTGCGGACTGAAGGGTCCCAGGTTCAATTCCAGTCAAGGGCAAATGCCCGGGTTGTAGGCTCGATCCCCAGTGTGGGTCGTGCAGGAGGCAGCCAATCCACGATTCTCTCTCATCATGGTTGTTTCTCGATGTCTGTCTGTGTCTCTCTCTCTCTCTCTCTCTCTCTCTCTCTCTCTCTCTCTCTCTCCCCCCTCCCTTCCTCCCTCCCCCTCTCTCCCTGTCCCTCTCACTCTGACATCAATAAAAAATATATATTTTTTAATATATTTTATTGATTTTTACAGAGAGGAAGGGAGAGGGATAGAGAGTTAGAAACATCAATGAGAGAGAAACATCGATCAGCTGCCTCCTGCACACTCCCTACTGGGGATGTGCCCGCAACCAAGGTACATGCCCTTGACCAGCATCGAACCTGGGACCCTTGAGTCCGAAGGCTGATGCTCTATCCACTGAGCCAAACCGGTTAGGGCAATAAAAAAAAATATTTAAAAATAAAAACAACAAAAAACTTCAATTGAAATGATACAAGTGGGAGAAACTAAGATGGCGACTTAGGTAAACACCGGGAAATTGTCGCCTCACACAACAATTGAAAATTACCGCAAAGGACAGAGCAAACATCATCCAGAACAACAGGAAGGCTGGCTGAGAGTAAATTCTACAACTAGAAGGAAAGAAAAGCACGCTGAGAGCCAGAGGAGCTGCAGAGGTGAAGTGCGGAGGTACAAGTGCAGAGGTACGGCCGGCATGCGCGCGCGAGTAAAGGGGGTGGCACCTGAGGACGCGGCTGTCTTTTTGAATCACAAGCTCCCGACTGCTCTGAACTCCGGTTCCGGAAGTCTCTGGGGACCCAGGACTCATACGGGGAGAAGCTGGTCTGTCCGGCAGCGGGCGAACTTGAAGGCGGCTTTCCCTCAGAGGTGCTTGCAGCAATTAACGGGTCACTGAGACGCGCGACTCCGGGCGGAGAATCAGCCATAGCTCCTTGATCCGCCCTTTGATTCCCTGAGACCCCGCCCCACCCAGGCTGCGGCAGAGGCTTTTGCATGTGAATGTACCTAACTGCAGCCGAGCCAGGCAGACCCGGAACTTCCAAGAGAAGGCCCAAGGCCCCACAGCGGCTTGCATTGCTTCACAGCTGAGCCTCTTCGTGGCTCCTGCTGTGTGGCCTCAGGCAGAGGCTGAATTAGCACCTCCTTAGATCCAGGAGCCACTGTACCCAGTGGTCAGAGGGGGACCATCCAGATTGCAACTCCTCAGATCCATAAGGGACACACTCAGGGAGCAGACTCAGTGAGCACCAAAGCCCCACTGAAGCAAGTCTTGCCCCAGAAGGGTGTCTTCAGCACAGAAGTTCTCCCACTTTAGACACAGCTGATTCTCACAGCCAATTGGCCTGGAGGTCAATTCCTCCCAGTGATTCTACAACAACCAAGGCACCAAGAGTGCACCAAGAGTGTCCACCCCAGGTAACTGGGGAGGCTGAGCTACTGGGCCCTACAGGACACCTGGCGTGCAGGGCCACTCTATCAACACAGGGAAGCTGCCAAAATGCGGAGACAAAGAAACAGGTCACAAATGGCAGAAATGGAGGAAAGCAAACGATTGGATATAGAGTTCAAGGCCACGTTTATAAGGTTTTTCAAGAATTTTATGGAAACCGCCGATAAATTTAATGAATCTCTCAATAAGTATAGTGAGACCATGGAGGACATGAAAAAGGGCCAACTAGAAATTAAGCATACACTGACTGAAATAAAGAATAATTTACAGAGATCCAGCAGCAGAAAAGAGGATCCCAAGAATCAAGTCAAAGATTTGAAATACAAAGAAACAAAAAATACCCAACCGAAAAAGAAAAAAGAAAAGAGATTCCAAAAATATGAAGATAGTGTAAGGAACCTCTGGGACAACTTCAAGCGTACCAACATCAGAATTATAGGGGTACCAGAAGGAGAGAGAGAGCAAGATATTGAAAACCTTTTTGAAGAAATAATGACAGAAAACTTCCCCTACCTGGTGAAAGAAATGGACTTACAAGTCCAGGAAGCGCAGAGAACCCCAAACAAAAGGAATCCAAAGAGGACCACACCAAGACACATCATAATTAAAATGCCAAGAGCAAAAGATAAAGAGAGAATCTTAAAAGCAGCAAGAGAAAGACAGTAAGTTACCTACAAGGGAGTACCCATACGACTGTCAGCTGATTTCTCAACAGAAACCATGCAGGCCAGAAGAGAGTGGCAAGAAATATTCAAAGTGATGAATAGCAAGAACCTGCAACCAAGATTACTTTATCCAGCAAAGCTATCATTCAGAATAGAAGGTCAGATAAAGAGCTTCACGGATAAGAAAAAGCTAAAGGAGTTCATCACCACCAAACCAGCATTATATGAAATGCTGAAAGGTATTCTTTAAGAAGAGGAAGAAGAAAAAGGAACTCTTACCATTTGCCACATCATGGATGGAACTGGAGAGCGGATAAATACCACATGATCTCACTCATTTGTGGAATATAATGAACAACATAAACTGATGAACAAGGACTGATCCAGAGACGGAGAGGCATTGATTGGACTGTCGGGACTTGGAGGGATGGTAGGGGAGGGTGGGGGTAAGGGGGAAAGATCAACCAAAGGACTTATATGCAAGCATATAGGCCTAATCAATGGACATGGACAACGGGGGGGTGAGGGCATGAGCGGGGGGGGGGGGGGGGAGGGGGTAGAGGGTAACGTGGGGACAAGGACACATATGTAATATCTTAATCAATAAAAAATATATTAAAAAAAAAAAAAAGAAATGATACAAGTGAAGAAGAACAACACTCGAGTTTATGACAGCCCTGGAAACACCACTGTCTCAATCTACTGCCTTTCTTTTAAGTAGAATAGATGGCTTCAAGTATTTATGAAGCTTTAACTAGAGATTAACCATTCTTTGGTAACCACTCCTAGAGAGTGGTGGGTGGAGCAATGGAGTTGAGATATTTATTGTGAAATCAATGTTTTCTCATCCCCTCCCTGCAAAACCTTACAAAATCCTTTTTTTAAAAGTCATTAGGAATTATTACATAACCTGCAACTGACTAAACATTTCTCATATATTCTCACTTTCACATTTTAACATTTGCTCTAACATCTGACTTACTTAGACCTTCAAAGTATTTGTGAAGTAATTATGTACCATGTCGATTTCTTTTTAAAAAGCCCTTGAGCAATTATTTGATTGAGCAAAAAATAACAGTGACTAAAACAGTGCACCATGAAGTCTAATTAAATCCACATATCATAAATACCTTCTTCAAGGGTCTCAGGAATTTTCATTCTAGCAAGATGACACAGTAAAAGAACTCTCGCCTTCAGGCTATATGGACATGTAAGTGGAGGTTCATTCTTCTTTAAATTAATGCTGCCAATTTCTCTGATTAGCTAGAGTAAATAAAATAATTATTCAAAAATACACATCTAAAAAAAAGCATTAACTTTAATATGTAAATGCTTATCAAGGAATGTAGGAGATAGGACTAACCTGAGGTATGAGAATATTATCTGTTGGTCTGCTTGTGGCATCTTTATTATACTGAGGATCAAATTCAGAGGCTCCAGCCAAAACCATGATAAGACCTAAGGAAACAAAAGACATATGAAGGTAAATACATATATTTGCTCACTTATTAATTTCCCTGCTATGATACTTCATTAATCCTAGGGTGAGGCAATTTTCCAACCATACACAATGCTTAAAAGCCATGTGAACTCCACTACTAACAAGTATTAATTTATTCCATAAAAAAGCCTCACGTTTTAAAACATGCACAATGTTACCTATCGCAAGTGAATAGAAATATAAATCAAATTAAGGACCCCAAAGCAACTAGATGCATTAAAATCACTTCAAATAATGTCTGTTTCTAGACCTAACCATGTGTTCCACAGAAACTTTCTATAGAGCATTAAATATTCCATGTGATATTAAGAAATGTTATGTGAAAAAAGGGGGCCAGAGTTAAATATGGGAAATAATGAGTTAAAAAGAGCTACATGTTTCTTTGCTTTATGACTTCTCAGAGCCTTCAATAAACCAAAATATACTGTCATTTACAGAAACTTTTATTATAGAACTCTGGAGGGTTTGGGAGAATAGTGTTCCTTGAAAAACACATGATTTGCAGCCTCATACAGGGTGGGGTGAAAGTAGGTTTACTGTTGTGAGTGGGTGGAACACAGAGTTTATTCAGTTTTATTATTATTTATTAATTACTGTATTTTCCATACAATTATAAACCTATTTTTGCCCTACCCGAATATTAGCATTACTTTTGTAAGCCTATACAAGCTCTTTCATGACTGGCACTAGAGTTATCAATCTCACCTTACAGCAGAAAATACAATCTGTTCACAAAAAGCAGGACAACACAGAGGTTAAGTGCCTAAAACTCTAGAGCAGGGGTGGGCAACCCCTGGCATCCGTGCCAAACATGGCACACCAGTAACTTTTGCTGGCACGCGAAACCCTCTCTTATAATCTTCCATTTACAATTTTTTTCTTAATATCGACTTTTTTATTTTTCAGATAAATTCAGTGAAGGTGCATCTTAGATAAATAAATAATTTTACATAACAAGTTATCTTAAAGACCATAGACATGGATTGACGAGAGAGGGGAAGAGCAATTTCAATAGTGTCGAAAACTAGCTATTGAGGACTTGGAATGTCATTCGAGAAAATTTTTTATGTTTAAAAAACTTTGCAACAGAGTTACTCTCCATGTGTTCATCCACATATGCTTGTGAATCTTTGTTCTCAGTGATGAATTTTGTTAAGTCTCGTAATAGGAGTAGCCTGATGGATGAAAGTAGTAGCTCATGCATATCTCTGAAGGTCACGAAATATAAACCTGATGTAAAATCTCTGTCATCAGTGATGCAGCAGCAAAAGTCCCACTGATAATATCAAACGGAATCATAAAGTTATCTGTCGGACTATCAGTGTACATGTATACATTAAAAAATAAATGTATTTTTCATCATCATATACTGTGTTTTTGTCGCTCAAATGAATTTTATTATTTCTTCAAGGTTCTCCACATACGTACACCTTAAGAGATATCAAGTAGGCGTAACATGTTCTCAAAAAATTAGGGTTGGCACGCAGAAGAATTTTGAGTCAGAGATTCTGCTGGTTTTGGCACGCATTCACAAAAATGTTGCCCACCCCTGACCTAGAGTTTTACTTCCTAGCTAAATGACCTAGATCAGTGGTCGGCAAACTGCGACTCTCGAGCCACATGCGGCTCTTTGGCCCCTCGAGTGTGGCTCTTCCTAAGCCTTAGGAGTACCCTAATTAAGTTAATAACAATGTACCTACCTATATAGTTTAAGTTTAAAAAATTTGGCTCTCAAAAGAAATTTCAATCGTTGTACTGTTGATATTTGGCTCTGTTGACTAATGAGTTTGCTGACCACTGACCTAAATAATAGTCTTTACCTCTTTGGACCCTAGTTTCTTCACATGAGCCTGACACACAATAAACACAGTAATATGTGAACTATTACCCTTACTACCTCCAAATGTTTTCATGAAATTGTTCCTAAGATGGCCATATAAGTGGTGCCAATGATAAAGTAACAAAAGATATATAACCAAACCCACCAGCTAAATAATGCTTTTTTAACAGACCAATTGTATAAGTCTAAATACCACCCTCCGAAATGAAACAGAAAAAAGATTACTGATGCAAAAAAAATTAAAACAAATAAAAACATGAAACATCGACATAAGGAAATAGTTCTATATTAATATTTCAAGCCAGCATAAGGAAGAGTGGCATGTGTTAATAAGGGAGAGTAATGTTCACTTGCTCCTCAGAAATAAAAGATATGCTCATTCCTCAGGAATATAATCACACAGTCACATGATCCTGAGGAGTCTCTTTCTGATTATCAAGAAAGATAGTAAAATGGCAAATCCAAAATACAGAAAAGTCCACTTAAGTTTTGAAACAAAAAAATGCATTTTCCAGTGAGGCACAATTTAAAACTTTTAAAAGAGGAAGCGGGATGTCTATGATTTCTGCATAGCAGTGATTGTGAAAGACAATACTATATTACAGGGATAAAATTTACAATATTAGCTTTATGAGCTCACGGAAAGTATTTAGGATGGTATCTTTTTTTTTAAGAAACTAGAGGCCCGGTGCACAAAATCTGTGCGGGGGGAGGGGCCCTGAGACGATCCCTCAGCCCAGCCTGTGCCCTCTCACAGTCCCGGAGTGGGCCTAAGCCGCCAGTCGGACATCCTTAAGTGCTGCCACGGAGGCGGGAGAGGCTCCCGCCACCGCCACTGCACTCGCCAGCCATGAGACTGGCTTCTAACAGAGTGAAACTCCCCTTGTGGATGGCACTGACCACCAGAGGGCAGCTCCTGCATTGAGCGTCTACCCCCCGGTGGTCAGTGCACAACACAGCAACCGGTCGTTCCACTGGTCGGTCGATTTGCATATTAGTCCTTTATTATATAGGATTTTAAAGTAAGACTCTGAGAATGAAATATCCTGACAGTTTTCTTTCAACACACCCAAGACCTCTACTTATTTTATTACAATTAATACAGGATAATGTACTGGTTTATGGCTCAGGAACCAAACTGCCTGGGTTTGATACTGGCTCTGTCACCTACTATGCATCCTTGAGTTCAGTTTTCGCATCTATAAAATGTGCTTACAAACAGCACACACTAACAGGGGCATAGCAAATACTAAATGAGTTAATGCACGCCTGGCACATAACAAATACTCAAAAAATGTTAGCTGGTATTATAAAATTAGTCCACATGAAGCTTAAACATAAAATTTCTGAGAAAAAAATACATATATAGCTGAGTAGATGGAAATAATAGCAATAGATCAAGAAATGTGGTAAGGGTGTTAGCATTTTCCTCCAGTTTTAGGTACACGAATTAAATATCTATAAACGTAAAATGGAATTTCTCTATTTGAATGTGTATCAATTCCACATAAGTGACTCAGAAAATAATCTATTGTCATGGTTATTTAAATTTACTTACGTTTCATATCCATATTTCGAGTTTTATAAACAAAATATGTATAAATCTGTGTGGTGCGTATTAGAATCTGGTCTCCACTATAGCGTATTGAGCGATACCACCAAGACCCCTTAAACACAAATAAAATTAAATAAATAAAGCATAAAAACTATAATAAATGCTAGTTTAATAAGGAATATGTTTGTGGTCAAATTTTCTAAATGCTCATAAACCAATAAAAATTCCTCAGATTTAGAACAAATACCTTCAACACATATTTTAAATTATTTATTTTGCAAATATGTATACTGCCTGATGACTACCTAACTATAATTATACCATTAAGACATTTAAGTTTCAACTAGAAATTGTTTGAAGACAAAATAGAAATGAACCAACCCACTACTATAAGCAACAAACTGGTTCCTGATACATAATATGCCTTCAATAAATATTTAATAAATAAATAAAGAAGCAATTTTACTATTTTAATTCACATTATTCCATACAATTGGATCCTCACACAAAAATCCTCTGAAGAAGGCACACAGGTTAATTATTAGCCTCACATAGAACTCAAAAACTGTAAGAGCAAAAAGAACACCACCAGTCATAAAAGTAATAAACAGTAAAATCATAAACTTTATGGTATCTACATATTGAGGTACCATGTAGCTGTTTTAAAAATGAGATCGCTCTAAATGTCATGCCCCTTATAGTTAAAGCAAAAAAGTCAGAACAGTACATATATTTTGTAATGTGTGTATAGAAAAATACAGGCTGGGGCAAAAGTGGGTTTAAGATGTTTGTATGGAAAATAATACAAATAATAAATAATAAAACAAGAATAAATTCTGTTTCATGTACTGTAAACCTACTTTTGCCTGAAACTGTATTTAAAAGGGAAATCACCAAACTTAAGCAGTGATTATCTCCAACAGAGATGTGGAGGGAGGTAGTGAAGGAAGACTCATTTTAAACTCTAAATACAACTGTAGTATTATCAGTTGTGTCTAATTTTTGAATTGGGAGGAAATATACTTTAGCATACTCAAGTGATGTCACCTTTAGAAGACCTTCAAAATATAGTTGAATATAATAAGATTCTTAAAATTCAAGGATCAATGGATTATATTCTAATACAAATTATAATCTAACAAGGAGACTCCAAAGCATACCAACAATTCCCTTTCCAAAAATATGTTAAAAAAAAAAAAAAAAGCTAGAACTTACCACAACAACTGGAAGGATGACCATGAATGCCAATCCATATACAAGTAAAACCTAGAATTAAAGAGAAAAAAATTATGGTCTACATCAGGCAAATTATAACAATATCCATGAACACTTATTTTGAGGCTTACATGGAGGAGGCACTATTAAAAGCACTCCTCATGTATTATTTTGTTTAATTCTTATTTTCAAATCCTCTGAGGAAGGTACCATTATTATTTTCCTTTTGAAGATAACCTGCAGCATATATATGTTTCATAGCTTGTCCTAGGTCACACAGCTAGTAAGTAGGTAAGAACCAGGATTGGCATTCCACCTACAGAAACTATGTTCTTTGCCACTACTAATAAATTACCTTTTCATTTGCTCTATAGATAACACCAGCAAAACAGAAATTATATTTCCCTTCAAGTCAAGTACTTATATAGTCACACCTTGGCAAGCGGTTAATGCCTTGGAAATAAATAATAATAGAACCCTGTTTGGTTCCTTTGTCTAAATATTGAGGAGTAACTTCATAATGTTCTGTTTGAAGTCTATTGGTCTCAGATTTTTCTCCCACTGCTTGATCCCTAATCTCGTAGCTAACTATGTTTCTCTTCTTTAGTATTCCCAGAATAAGCCTAGGCATGATAAGCACACTTACATACAGCAACTATATACCACTGAAGAAAACAAATGTTAATCTGCCATAAAATAACATTATAAATAGCCATTTCAAAACAAATTACAGACTATATGGATTTTGGTTTTTATTACTTCAAAGATAGCTCCTACCTAGATCATTATTTTCAAGAAAGCAGGGAATCATCTATTCCTAAACAATAGGAATTTCTGACATTTTAGAGTTCAGCATCTATATGATTGAAGTCTGTATCCTACTGCCTCCTGAAGTACCATACGGAATATATACCACTAATTTAGCATATATTATAATTAATTTAGCCAGGGTAAATGTGAAATGAAGGGTAATTTAACATTTGAGTACAACTTAGGATAAATACAGATACCATAAAAAAAGAGTAGTTCCAGGACTTCCAGTCAACACAGCGGCATAGATAAATGCAGTATTTGAATCCTCCAACTCAACTACAGAACCATCATTCAGAGCCACCTAAAATCTAGCTGAATTTAAGACCTAAAAATAGGGATTTAAAGAAGCTACATAGAGACTGGTCAGAGGGTCAGAGACTTGGAATGGGCTAGTCCCACATCCACATGTGCTAGATAAAAATCAGGAGGAGTACCTCAGTCATGGTGGTCCCCCTGAAGAGCAAGGAATCCCAGCCCCATACCAGGCCCCCCCAGCCCAGCGTTCCAGTGCCAGGAGGAGAAGTCCCCATAACTTCTGGCTGTAAAAACCAGTGGGGATTGTGGCTGAGTGATAATGAGGGCTGCTGGAATCCCATGCAGTTCCTCTTAAAGGGCCTGCACATGGATTTATTCAGACTCACTCCCTCTGAGCTCCAGCACTGGGACAGCAGCTCAAAAGGCACCAGGGACATACAGGGAGGAACTGAATTATCTGGCATCAGAGCAAAAGCTGGAGGAGCAGACAAATGTGCTGGCAAAAGCCATTGTTCTTTTTCTGAGACCCCCTCCAACCTCAAAGAGCCAGCAAGTGGGTGTCATATCTCCATCAACCTGGCTCACACTGTTCACCACACTGTAGTGATTGCCTGAGACCCCATTCGCCCAACTTGAGGGCCCGACCAAGCCATTTCCAGTGGTTTTTCCATACAAACCACCTTTCTTGGCACCTGCTACAGACTTTCCTAAAATCTCTCAAACAAGCAACATCTGGTCTTGGCACATATCCTGTACCTTTCACTAAGTGGGCCCAGCCCCAGCACTAGTGGCAGCCAGTCTTAGTTTGCAGCCTGGCCTCTCCTGGGCACTTCCAAACCAAGCACAAGTAGGAGCCATCTGCAGATTGCTCCAAAGCTCATGCCAGGTGGTCCCAGACAGGGCAAAGGCAGTGGATGACCTTGCACCTCCTGGGAGTCCCCAGGGCCAGTGCACCTCATGGATAGCTTTAGACCATGCTAGATTACAATCTTACCACCTTCACTAGCAAGAAACTCTTTGGGCTAACTTGGTGAGCACAACAGCCCCACTGAAGTTTTATAAGGTTGGCTCCTGAACAACAGCTACTCTGCTGTAGTCACAGCGGGTCCTCACAGCCAATTGGCCTGGGGGTCAATCCCTTCCAGTGATGCCAACAGAAAAATTAAGGCTCAACTACAATAGGACAGTGCACACAGCCCACACAGGGGTGCACCTAGAGTTCCCAGCTGGGGTAACTGGGGAGGCTGTGCCTCTGTGCCCTACAGAACACCTACTACACAAGGCCACTCTACTAAGTCCAGGAGACATAGCAGCTCTACCTAATACCTAGAAACAAACTTAGGGAAGCAGCCAAAATGTGGAGACAAAGAAATAGGTCCCAAATAAAAGAACAGCAGAAATTTTCAGAAAAAGAGCTAAATGAGCCCTGGCCAGTGGGACTCGGTTGGTTGGGTTGGAGTGTCATCCTGTACACCAGAGGTGACTGGTTTGATTCTTGGTCAGGGCACATACTTGGGTTGTACATTTGATCCCTGGTCAGGGCGTGTGTTAGAGGCAACCAATCTATGTTACTCTCTCACAATAATGTTTCTTTCTCTCTCTCCCCCTTACCCTCTTAAAAAAAAAACAAAATAAAACTAAATGAAATGGAAGCAAGCAAGCAAACTACTATAGAGTTCAAAACAATGGTTATAAGGATGCTGAAGGAACTTAGTGAGAATTTCAACAGCATGAAAAAGGACATAGAAATCACAAAAAGGAACCAATCAGAAATGAAAAATATACTAACTGAAATGAAGAATAATTTACAGGGAATTAACAGTAGATTTGATGAAGCCAAGAATCAAATCAGTGATTTGGAACATAAGGAAGCCAAATTACGCAATCAGAAAAGAAATCCAAAAAGAGGTAGTATAAGGAGTTTCTGAGACAACTTCAAGTGTACCAACATATGCATTATGGGGTCACTGGAAGAAGAGAAGAAGCAAGAAATTGAAAACTTCTTAGAAAAAAAAATAATGAAGAAAACTTCCCTAACTTGGTGAAGGGAATAGACATACAAGTCTAGGAAGTGCAGAGAGTCCCAAACAAGGTGAACCCAAAGAGACCCATACCAAGACACATCATAAATAAATGCAAAAGATTAAAGACAAAGAATCTTAAAAGCAGCAAGAGAAAAACAGTTACCTATAAGGGAGCTCCCATAAGACTGTCAGCTTATTTCTCAAAAGAAACTTTGCAGGCCAGAAAGGAATGGCAAGAAATACTCAAAGTGATGAAAAGCAAGGACCTATAACCAAAATTACTCTACCCAGCTATCATTTAGAATCAAAGGACATATAAAGAGCTCCCAAGACATGAAAAGGCTAAAAGAGCTCATCACCACCAAATCATTATTATATGAAACTAGTGGCCCGGTGCACAAATTCATGCACATTGAAAGGAAATTAATTAGAAGAAATATTTTAATAACGCTATTCACCCTTTCTCTATAATAGAAGTGTCAACCAAATTCACAATTGACAATGACAGATCAAAACACACACATGCGATTGGTGCCAGCAAGAGTTTTGAATGCACTACACATGTGCGAGTCAACTTAGCCTTTTATATATATGGAATATAGAATAAACTTGCTTAATTAGACCTGCTTTCTGATTTAGCTAAACTTTTTCCAGCCCAGTGAAGCACCCCAACTTCTCTTTCAGGTAATTGTCAGCAACACAGCAATAAATATCAACACAAAGCAGATTATTATTGTAGATCACGCAGGGAGAACAAAGGAAAAAATATTTGACTGCAGCAGTTTTTGACTATATTCTGCACAGTGAGAAAATCTGAAGTCATTTTCAAGTTCCACCATTTCTTCCTTCTTTTCAGTTGGGTCAAGTTTCTAAACTTTCTAAATCTTGTTTGCTGGCCAATGAAAAAAAAATAGAATTCCACCAAGTCTCCAATGTACCTACTCCAGGACTTCTGTGAGGATCAAATGAGATGAGGCATGGGAAAACACTTCACAGACATTTGGTTAAAGTGTAAAATGTTTCCACCTGGCTATAAAGCAAGTCGTATTTCTGGGCTGAAAAAACTCCAAGGAGGCTAGTCACTAGGGAGAGGAAGCCGGGCATTGCTACATGACATCATTACCTGGCGCCCACAGCCACCGTTTTCGGGCTGGGCTGGGCTGTGGGCTGAATTTTGCACCATAGGGTCTCGGCAGTGTTAGCTGCAATTTGGTGGGGTGTTGCTCCAGCGTGGTGGCAGGGCCTGTGTTCCACTTGGGGGAGCCAAGTGTAGCTTTGTGGGTGCCAGGTCCCTGGTGCCGTTTCTTTGTAAATGGCCAATGTGCATCACAGCAGCTCCTGCGATGAGCGTCTGCCCCCTGGTGGTCAGTGTGTGTCATAGCAACTGGTCGGAGGGACACTTAGCATATTAGCCTTTTATATATATAGATGTTAAAGGGTCTTCTTTAAGAAAAGGGGATATAAAAATATGAACAATAAAATGGCAGTAAATACATACCTATCAACAACTGAATATAAAAACCAAAATAAACGAACAAGCAGAAGAGAAACAGATTCATAGATGCGGAGAATATTTTTACAGCTGCCAGATAGGAAGGGGTTGAAGGGGTGGGTGGAAAAGGTGAAGGGATTAAGAAGTACAAATTGAGCCAAAACCGGTTTGGCTCAGTGGAGCGTCGGCCTGCAGACTGAAAGGTCCCAGGTTCGATTCCGGTCAGGGGCATGTACCTGGGTTGCAGGCACATCCCCAATAGGAGATGTGCAGGAGGCAGCTGATCAATGTTTCTCTCTCATCGATGTTGCTAACTCTCTATCTCTCTCCCTTCCTCTCTGTAAAAAATCAATAAAATATATTTTTTAAAAAAAAGTACAAATTGGTTGTTACAGAATAGTCATGGGGATGTAAAGTACAGCATAGGGCAGTGATGGCAAACCTTTTGAGCTCGGCGTGTCAGCATTTTGAAAAACCCTAACTTAACTCTGGTGCCGTGTCACATATAGAAATTTTTGATATTTGCAACCACAGTAAAACAAAGACTTATATTTTTGATATTTATTTTATATACTTAAATGCCATTTAACAAAGAAAAATCAACCAAAAAAATGAGTTCGAATGTCACCTCTGACATGCGTGTCATAGGTTCGCCATCACTGGCATAGGGAATATAGTCAATAGTATCCTAATAACTATGAACGGTGTCAGATGGGTATGAGATTTACTGGGATCAGGTCTAAGTTATATGTCTAATCACTGGGTATACACCTGAAACTAATATAATATTGTATGTCAACTGAATTGGAAAATAAAAATTAATGGCAAATAAAATTTAAAAAGCAGTAGTTCCCCAAACCAAGGGTATGACCTGATCTGAAACTGACTCCAAAAGAAAATCACATCTTTGTTTTAAGACTACAGTTAGAACACACTGCCCCAAACCAGCAACCTAATCATGGGAAAGAATTCTTTTCTCCATCACATAAAAAGTTTCACAATACACAGTTAAATTAAAAATAGCATACCAATATTTTCATTGTAATAGCTCTCTTTATGTCAAATGTATTATAATGTGATATAAATAGACTCACCAAAATTGAATTTTTCTGGTCAACTATCCAAGCTGGCAGGGCTATTCCAAAGCTTGTGGCTAAAATAGAAAGAACATTTCTATACTTCCAGAATTTATATCCCAAAATTCTGCCTCTCATCCCCACCCCCACCCACCCCCAAAAAAAACAACTGAGAAAAATCATCTCATTACAACATATGTTCTCATTACACAAATTAATGGAAATAGTCTATATCTGAAACTAAATCTTTCCAGAAGGAAAAAAATAATCAAAGTACATAAATTCCTTCTTAAAAAAAATCTAAATCCTTTTATATTTCCTGAGTTTATGTAAACACTGTATGTGAGAAAATATTTAAAGTCAGCAAAAAAAACATTTTTGTCATTCAATTTTTATGAACTACTAATTGAAAATGTGAATGACAGTGACTACTCTTCTCATCAAATCAATCTAAGTTTTATCTTCTAAACTATTTTCTAGAAAAAAAATAGTTAAAAATTAATTAAAAGGAACTCAATTGACACATCTGTTTAACTCCCTGTGGCTGTTAAAATATTCTTTTCTATCTAATTAATATTTTAATAATATATATCATATACCCAGTGTTTTTTAATAATCATTTACCCCACCTTGAGGTCCATCTGGATTTCCAAACTCTTCCCAATTTTTCCGGGACTCTTCATCAGTTAAACTAGCATCAAAAGAACAAAGTTTAATAGTTAGAAAGCCCTACCTGAAAAAAGTACTCATATATACAAATTCCATTAACCAACCAACTCATTTCTTAAAGATATTAATTTCAGAGAATCAAGGAAAGCCTCTTTGAAATCAGAAAAACAAGGAAGCTAGAAATTCTGGATTAACAGAAAATGTCAACTATTGAGCCTTGATACAAATTCCTGGTTGCCCCATGGGTCTTCAAATTTAGCTACTTTAAGCCAGGAAGTGAAACTTTAAAAGCTAACACATTTTCTGAGAGAAGGCAGGAAGATTATTGGTGCCTTTTTTTGTTCTTATATGCTCATACATTTCCAAAATTTCTTCAATAAGCATGCTCACACTTCAATAATAATATAACCTATTTTCTAAATATAAAATTAATCCATAATAATCCCTCCAAAACTGGTACCATATTCTCAACAAAAAAAAGAAGAAAAACACCTATAAAAGTCTATTGCTGTGTAAAAGGTCATTAGCACTGTGCTGAGACCACAATTTTCTTCCTAACCCAGGCAATATGAAGTGACAGAGTGAATATATTTTTTAACACCTAAATATAAATATTACCTATGAGCTGGGCAATAGCTAAAGGCACAGAGTGAGAGTGGTTTTATTCCAGGTTCCAGTGTAGATGCTAAGAAAACATTAAAATAAAATTTTATTTCCTTCGAACACTTTATAATGTTGTTAAGGGAACAAGGCAGAAATACACCAAAAAAAAAAAAAAAAAGACTAATAATAAAATAAGAAAGGCTTTCTTGTAGATTAGTTGGCAAAAGATTATGTTTATGTCCAAATCCAATTTTGGTCCTATTTCTATTTCCCAGAATATAGGTACTTAAGATACAATGTAGGTTCTAGTCAACCAAGTTCCAAGTTGAAAGAGAGAATGCAGAAGTACCTTTATAAAATAGCAAAAATTTTCAACAATTTGAAAATATTTTAGAACTTATCGATTTGATAATTTATAAAAATAAGTATCCTGACATCTTTAGCCCTTATTTAACTGTATCTCTACTTACACTATTTGAACTAAGGTCACAATAAAACACAGGAGCCAATGGAAAGCATAATTAGAGAGATTTCAAGTTAATAAGAAATGGTGCTAAGATTCTTTTCTGTTGAGATGTTTCTCAAAAAAGTTTGCCCCAGTTTCCTTGTACAACTGTACACCCCACCCAAAGCTTCAGCTATTGTTTCTCTCAATATTCTGTATTCTAACTAGATTCTTTTCCACAAAATAATTATCTCTGACCCCTCTGCCTTTCTGTTGATGGCAGCACAATAAACTGCTCTGTTCTCTATTCAATGCCCTCAGATTTTGCAAAATAAAGCACAGATTTTGCAAAATAAAGCACATAATAGAAGCACTTGATTTTTAACCTGCAACCATACCTGATTATAATTCTATTAATTCATTCATTAAACCAACTTGTACAACCACTGTGATAGGCACCATGCTGGATACTCAAATAAAAGGATTCATCAACTTTTTTTTTTTTAAATATATTTTATTGATTTTTTAGAGAGAAAGGGAGAGAGATAGAGAGCTAGAAACATCCATGAGAGAGAAACATCAATCAGCTGCCTCCTGCACATCTCCCACTGGGGATATGCCCGCAACCCAGGTACATGCCCTTGACCGGAATCGAACCTGGGACCTTTCAGTTCGCAGGCCGACGCTCTATCCACTGAGCCAAACCGGTTTCGGCTCATCAACTTTTTAAAAAGTCAGTGATTTCTTTGCCACTTACTAGTGCTTTAGTATAATACCATTCCTAAGACTTAGTCTCTAGTAAAGATATAAACAAAGAATCATAAATTTTCACAGGAAAAAGTATAAATATGCTAAAGAATATGAAAGAACATGCTATAGGTGATTTGTTAATTCGTATAAGTTTAAACAAGGCCAATAATGCTAACATAATGTTTTTTAATTCAATGAGAATAAAGTTTCCTAAACATGATTATATCCCCTAACTTTGGAGGTAGAAGGTTGTATCACAGATCCAAGTATAAATTTAATGGAATCTGTGCCTCTTTTGCTCTGGAATATATACACATTTAAATATATACATAAAGCCCTAGCCATTGTGGCTCAATTGGTTGGGTGTCATCCTGGGCACCAAAAAGTTGCCAGTTCAATTCCTAGTCAGGGCACATGCCCAGGTTGCAGGCTCCATCCCCAGTAGAAGGCATACAGGAGGCAGCCAATCGATGTTTCACTCTCATATCCATGTTTCTCTCTCTCCTTCTCCTTTCCTCTCTCGAAAAATCAATAAAGAACTTATATATATAATATTCTGTATACAATTTCAAGGACCCCAGATTATAAATCTGATCTAGAGAATGCTTTCACTAAATTATACATTCGTGACACTGAGTTGGCTATGTAAAGCTAAGTTACATACTCATGTGTACAACCACATGAAAACATATTTTTAAAAACTGGAATAGCTTTAAGGTTACATCTCTGCTGCCCACTTGTGAGAAAGTAGCTTGATCCTAGGTTTTATACCTGAAAGTCAAATCCCAACTGTATCCAGAAGAAAGAAACAGAAAATTGAATAGTTTCTAACTCCTCAAAAATAACCAGACCACCTTTTTTCCTCTAAGTTAAAAATCTGGTATGAAGAAATAGGAATGACCCATCTAGTTTATTATAATGGACAAATAAGGGAAGAGAAAATATCCTGAATAACCAAAGCAAATTCTAAAAAGCTTTATAGATCAAAGCCTATAACTTTTGCATTCCAAAAGCTGCTTGAGTTATACTTAGGCTGCTAGAGTTATACATAAGATGGGAGCTTCAATTCAATCAGTCAGAACTTATATTTGGTAAAATGTACAGTTTTATCAAATCTAGTTATACTTGTACAAGTTACAAGATCTCAAAGTCTGGGTCCCATAATCATTTACTTTTCAATTTGTGTTATATAGACCATCAACTAAGACATCTTACATACAAAACATTCTATATCTCGATCATGTAACTGAGTTAAAATGAAAGGCCACATTTTATTCTTCTGTACTTTTTAGAATAGTGATACATAACAGTCAGATTTCCAGTAACTTCAGAACAAATTCAGAAATTTGAACATGTTACAATACCTGAAGACTAGGGCAAAAAAAAAAAAAACTGCACTAAAATTAAAACTAATTAAGTAATACTGTCTATCTGATTTCCTCTGAAATCTTCAGTTCTGAAAATGGCAACTAAGGCACCGCAATACTTGCACAATTAAATTCTTGAAGGAGACACAATCAAAAAATGGGGGAAAAGGAGACACCAATAGAAAGACAGTAATTTGAAGGACATTAGCTGTACAGAAAAGAAAAAAGTGGTACGGACTTCAGATGCTCCTGAATTACAAAATCACATTCATATAGATAACAAGCAATCCACAGGAAAGGGGGAAGAAGAGACACAGTCAATGTATTTTTACTGAGAACATAAATAAGAGAGTATGTCCCCAACTTTTGTCAGTTTGTTATTATATCTGAGTATCCTAATATTTACTTACATTTTATGTCATTGAATCCTCAAAAAACAGACATCTTGTTTGTATTTTACTCTTTAATTCAACTTAAGAGCTATGTAGAGATATACCTATCACAAGTCCTAAAGAATCCAGCTAACCTTTAACTCTTGTAATAGTAATGCTCAAGGAATAACTACTTCTAATTGTATATACTCTATCCTGTTTCCCCAAAATTAAATTGGTCTTGTAAAGAATTTAAATGAGACAAGCTACACTGCCAAAACAAGAGAAATAAATCTTACCTTATAAAAAAAAAAAAAAAAAAAACTAGAAATGAAAACGGGAATAAGTATATCCTCTTTTAATTAGGATGCTTAGAAAAAGGTCAATTAACAAATCACTACTTAATCTAACCAACTTCATATGGCAAATGCACTAATCTACGTTACTTAAAATTAAGGTTTTAGTTAGATTGCCATTTTAGCTCTGCCAGGCAGTTCTATAAATGACAGACTCTGCATATGAGGTCAACATTTAATAAAAATGTATGACAACTATTTTATTTACTAATTTATTCAAATAGAAAACTATCTTTACCACTCTTAAAAATATGTAATGAAGCCTATGATACTTACGCTGCATAAGCTTTTGCTATCCTCATGAACATAACTTCATCACCCCCTTTATCTGGATGATATTTAAGTGACAGCAAACGATATTGTTTCTTAATTTCTGTTACTGTTGCCCCCTAAAAGGAAAAGGTTTGTTTTAGTAAAAGCAAGCACAATGCTATAAAAACAAAACCCATCTCATCTGGAACTTAAGATATTAAATACTCAATATTTTCAGAAAGAGAAAATGAATTTTTAGCCTATATATTTTGTGCCATAAATTCCGCCCCATGTACTTTTTAAATAAAAATATACTTATTTTGTCGGATATATTTATTATATTGAGCACCTACTATGTGTCATGCAGTACACTAGGCACTGATGATACAAGAATGAAACCATGAACAGCACAGATTTGAACTACACAAGTTCATTTATGTATACATGGATTTTTTTGGTATTCGAGGATTTCACATTGTGGAATCAATTAACCGCAGACTAAAAATACTGTGATGTGAAGGACTATAGAGTCAAAAGCTATACTTGAATTTCTGACCAGGCAAGAGCAGCACCTCAACCCCCATGCTGTCAAGGGTCAACTGTAATGATGTATTTAAATAAAATAAAAGGATTGTCACATTTAAATATCAAAGAATGATCACGGTAAATTAAGTCTGGCTGAAAAAAACCTCCAATCAAAGCTTAACTTCCTTTCTAAGAAATAATCTGAAGAATATCTGGTTTCATCTGCTTGTCAATATTTTAAAATTAAGTAAATACTTAATAAGCTTACTTTAGTTGTTTCCTATTAGATTCACTTTCTATTAATAAGTTTTTCATGACTTTCATAGCATCAAATTGCCCCCAAACCTTTTAATTTTTAAAATTTCTTGATGACCATGATCATCACAATGAAAGAAAAACAAATTATAGAAATACTTTGCTTCTAACAAAGCAGAAAACTGGAAGATAAACACATTCCTTACTTTGTATTATATGAATCTCTGGGTCAAGTCATCTACTAGTACTGAGCAAAGACACTAGAAGTAAAAGAACTGGTTTGGGGAAAACATGGAAAGAGCACTAGATTAACTTGACTCCTAAGAAGTTATAGGATCCTGGACAATATACAAATTTTTCGGGTCCCATTTTCACCATTAGGAAAAAAGGCTAGCTGACCTCTAGCATTCATTTCAGTTCTAACTTTCCACTGATAAACCTAAAAGACTAATTTTCTGTTGGGACCCAATAATCAAGTTCAATTAATCAATCAAGAGATCACCCAATGGGTCACCCAAAGTTAATGTGAATTTCTATGACAATGACACCAGTTCTTTAAAATACATAAAGGGTTAACACTCTACCTTAGTGTCAACTAACACAGGGACATAAGATTTTAATCATCCAACTAACATATATAAATCTCCTGGTTTTAACTTTGCATTAACCCATCTTACATATGTGTTTTAAAAATATACCCACTCACTAACTTTCCACCTGATCTTCAAATATTCTTACATTTTAGTAATTACAAATCAATTCTTAATAGGATGGCAATCATCTGTAGCTTAAAAAACATATGTACATCAGAATAATAAATAATGGATTAGATAGCTCATTTTAATAAAAATTTTTTAACTGACCACAGTTTTACTTTTAGGCACAGTCCAATTTCTTTTAGGACGTGGACTTACAGTGTTTTCATGGGATCATTAAACTAATGTGCATTATATAAAAATACTACTTACAGGATCCAAATTTAATACTTCATAAGGATTATATTCCTGATATTCTCGGTCGGTTTTAGAAACTTTGTACGCAAGGAATAAGAATAATGCCCATCCTGCAAGCAGAATTATTTTCCTGTTTAGAAAAAAGATAAGTGAAATATAAATAAATACATCTACATGGTTTTCCTTTAAGAGTCATTATGGCAAGATCAAGGCATAAAACAATCTGAAGTGGTCTCATAACACTATGCCACTGACTCAAATTCTAAACTCCTGTTATAGCAAGAACAGTGTCCTTTTCACCTTTGAATCTCTAGAATATTGTATAATGCCTGTCATTTCATATTCTCAGTTACTACTTGCAGAACTGTAAGTACCAAATTCAACTTATTAATTTATTGGACTATTGCATTCAATCAAAATACATTAATGCCAAGAATTCAGTAAACCATTTAATATAAAAAAGAATTGTTCTTGACCTTGCAATAACACTTTTAGAAAAACAAACTACAAAAAATAATGGGTCAATTGGGCAAAGATGAATATATAGCCATGTTTATAATGGTAAAACTCTGGAAACAAGTGTCCTTTAATAGGAAACTAAGTAAACAAAGATAGAACCACACAATGGAACATTTTTTAGCCAATAAAGATATAAAAAAGATGTACATACTAGTTTTTAAAAAGATATAAAATAACATTTAATTTGGGAAAAAACTAATTTATTCTCTCTGATATGTTCTGTTTAGTGAAAATATTTTAGAGATTATTACCAGTGTTGGAGAGACTAAAGAAAAAAGGAGCTCTCACACACACTCTATACTCTGAAGGAATATCTGGCAATAAGGTATCAAAAGACCTAAAGAAGTACATACCCTTTTAACTGTCCATCTACTTTACTTCAAGAAACTTAAAAGGAAATAAACTAGAATTAAATACATAAAATATAAAAGGGTGGTTACAGATATAAATAACAGCAGAAAACATATATGCACATAAATGCCTATCAACAGAGCACTAGACAAATAAATTAACAGTGAAACACTGTATACCTATACAGTGAAACACTACCTGGCCACTAAAAACTTGTGCACTGGAAGATTATCTACCTTGTGTTATTAAATTAAAAAAACCAACAACACAGCTTTCAAAGCTGTATGTACATGTAATATAATCCTATTTTTGTAAATAAGTCTATTGCAAATAAAAATATAGAAATGTAAATCATCTTAATAGTGGCTATCTTTAAGTGATGAAATTGAAAGATTTATGAAATATCACAATCTGTTACACTGAATAGAAATTGTTAAACCAATACAAAAAGAATCATAGGAGGCCTAATAAAAAATAAAATTGGGGTGGCCTGTCTTCAAAGACAGAAAGAAAATGTTCCATGTGTTTAATCTCTCTTGTTAGGAACCTAGCTTTGGAATGAGACTAATCAAGTTCCAACCCACCTGCTTACCTCTATCATGCTGATTTTTTCAAAATCCCCTAAGCTTGTCCCACCATCACACTTTTGCTCTCTTGGATCTTTCTACCTAGAATTCCCATTTCACATCTCTGCCTATCCAAACTCTATTTCATTCTTCAAGACTCAACTCAGGTTATTCACCCTCCAAGAAGCAGTCCTCATCAACGGGGAGACTGTAACTACTGTCACAAAAAAATAAAAACCATGACTTTCCTCCTCTGACTTGATGCAAGTTCCTTGAGCCCTGGATATGATCTTAATTCAGTTTTAACTAACTTCAGAGTAGCTTAAACAGTTAGCACTGAGATGCAAATTTATTTCCATCTGGTCAAAATAACGCTCTACTCTTTATTAAGAGCATAATAAGTACTGCAAGCTGCTTTCCACACTATCTATAGGCCAAAAGAAGAAAAGGGAGCCCTATCTGGAGTGCTCCCACTCTTACCTGGCTATCTAGGGAGAGGTACTTATGAACATAGGCTCTGGAACAAAACTACCAACTAAGGCCAAATCCCTGCTTCACCACTTATTAACCAAGAGATCTTAACAAGTTGCTTAGCCTTTTATATCTCAGTTTCCAACTTTTAGGGTAGGTTTGAGAATCAACTGAGATTAGGTATGTAAAGCACCTAGAAAGTGCTTCAGATATCATAAATAATTCATACTAGCTATTGGCTGTTATTAGTAACTCCACCCAAATCTCAGCTCAGACCTCATTATTCAGGGACACTTCTCTGTGTAGAGCCAGAGTTATAAGCCATTCCTCTACTCCTTCATGGCATCCCCCTTACTAAACTCTATTATTACTTGTTTACTTAACAGTATCCCCCAAGACTGTAAGTAGCTGAAACATGTCTACTTATTAATCACAGTATATTGGCACCTAGCATAATACCTGACATATACATAGTAGGTGCACAATAACTATTTATTGAATTAAAATAAAAATAATTTAAAATAGTAATTTTAACTCAACTCCAAAGTTTGCTAATTACCCCAATATCCAAAAGAACACATGAAAATATACTTTATTCCCACACAAATAACTCCGCATTTTCTTTTTTTTTTTAATATATTTTATTGATTTTTTACAGAGAGGAAGGGAGAATGATAGTTAGAAATATCGATGAGAGAGAAACATCTATCAGCTGCCTCCTGCACACTCCCTACTGGGGATGTGCCCGCAACAAAGGTACATGCCCTTGACCGGAATCGAACCTGGGACCCTTGAGTCTGCAGGCCGACGCTCCATCCACTGAGCGAAACCGGCTAGGGCTCCGCATTTTCTTTTACCAATTCTCCCAACAGGCTAACAAAGGTCAGAAAACAAAGATAAAGGTGAAATTGAAAGCCAGATTTAAAAGCAAACAAGGGCAGAAGGAAAAGGAAACAAAACACCTAGGATATGTTAGGCCCCTTTTTAGATGCTTTACTTGTAGCATCTGACTCTATAAGCCAAAGGGAGGAGAGCAGAGGCTCAAGACAGAACCCACCAGATTGATGAAAAAAATTACCACAATCAATAAAACCCTGGTCTAATTTCCCGAGCCAAAGCAAAGGTGGAAACAATAAACTGCATCATGCTCTGTGACCAATTTTTTTAGAAAGCATGTTTGGTTCCTCTAAAACAGTGGTTCTCAACCTTGGCTGCACATTAGAATCACCTGGGAATCTTTTTAAAATCCTGATTTCTGGGCCTCATCCTCTGGAAATTCTGTTTCTTTGTTACTCATGTTGTGGCCCCACCCCATAACAGAGAAACAGGATTTCCGGAGGATGAGGCCCAGAAATCAGGATTTTAAAAAGATTCCCAGGTGATTCTAATGTGCAGCCAAGGTTGAGAACCACTGCTCTAAAAAGATAAGCATTTTCACTACAGTGGGGCCTTGACTTACAAGTGTCCCGACTAATGAGTTTTTTGAGATACCAGCTGTCTCTCTGCCGATTTTTTGCATTGAGTTGACAGAGTAATTTGAGTTAACGAGCTCCTTAACGAGCTCGGTCTCCTAAGGAATTAAACTGGTAAGTCAAGGCCCCACTGTATATATAGAGTCAGTAATTAGTTAACTTGTGAAGTCTTGTATTTTTCTTAAGCACACTTTCAAAGTTATTTTGGAAGCAACTTTCAGAAATTAGAGTATTACACAATGACTGCTTAATTGTAAAAGAATACTTCAGGGTTAAGTAGCAAAAAAGGTTTTGATGTTTCCGACCTTATCTAAATTGTTACCAGTATCAATGTAACCCTTCCTTACTTGAACATTCTTTAATCTGTACTTCCAGTTAAGTAAATCAGTTTATTAATCACTGAAGAGAATTTCACAGAGTTGGTCTGCTGTTTTTTTCTTGAAAACTAAGGTTCAAATACCTACAAAGTGTTGACCAATTTTATTATAAAGGATTGATGACTTAGGGCAGCGGTTCTCAACCTGTGGGTTGCCAACCTGTGGAGGTCCAACGACCCTTTCACAGAGGTCGCCTAAAACCATCAGAAAACACATATAAAATTACATATTGCTTTTGTAATCAATCACTATGCTTTAATTATGTTCAATTTTTAACAATGAAAATACATCCTGCATATCAGATATTTACATTACGATTCATAACAGTAGCAAAATTACAGTTATGAAGTAGCAACGAAAATAATTTTATGGTTGGGGGTCACCACAACATGAGGAACTGTATTAAAGGGTCATAGCATTAGGAAGGTTGAGAACCACTGACTTAGGGTGAAGATCCAAAGCCTATGCTCTAAACCGGCATATCCCATACCCCAGTGGTTGGCAAACTGAGGCTTGCGAGCCACATACGGCTCTTTGGCCCCTTGAGTGTGGCTCTTCCACAAAATACCACGTGCGGGCGCGCACGTACAGTGCGATTGAAACTTCGTGGCCCATGCGCAGAAGTCGGTATTTTGTGGAAGAGCCACACTCAAGGGGCCAAAGAGCTGCATGTGGTTCGCGAGCTGCAGTTTGCCAACCACTGCCATAGCCTCACAAAATCAAATAGGCCGACTCTAATTAAACATGGTAATGGCCTGTTTAAGCAGATAGGCCTGCCAAAACAAAGAGTAACTAGGTCTCCAATCCACCACTTCTAGCTGTATGATCTCGTTCAAGTAACCTCATTTTTTTAGTCTCAGTTTCCTCATCTGAGAAAAAGCAAACACATCTACCTTGAAGTTAATATAAAACTAATGAGATAACTTACAAGGCCCTAGCACAGCACCTGGCATACAGTATGTGCTCAATAAACTTTATAACATGAAATTCAAACTTGATCATGTCACTTCCCTGCTTTTTTTATAATCTTTTAAAGATTCTTCTATGTCTTTAAGACAAAAATTCAAATACTGACACAAGATGCACAAGGTTTTCCTTTAAGATTTGACTTCTCTTTCTCCCCTTCTCCTTTGAGTCAGAAGCACACTCTCTCCTTTCAATTTGTAAACAACTCTGTTCAGACACCTCTCAAATTTACTATTCACATCTTAACCATACTAAGGTCACAATTTCTTTACAGATACATGTTTTATTCATTATTATACACCTATTTTAGACGATACCTAGCAAAAAGTAAACACTAAATATTTTTTTATTGAAACCAATTACTTACTTTATTGTAGGAATAATATTTGGCTGGGGCTTTAATAACCGTAATCGATACCACATACATCTTCCATATACTTTTCTGATATTCTTTAATCGAATTTGCTCTGTCAAAAAAAATAATAAGGGGATAAGTTAAACCATTTTTCACAGTAAAGGCAAAACCAGAGTTAATACCATACTAACCTTCATTGCCATGCTAATACTTTATTGGCACAAGAAAATACTGCCTACTTAAATAACATTTAGGAAAATTTCACAAGATAGGTTAAATTTTCTGCCACTTAGAACAAATGATCTATTTGGGAAATTTTATTCAACTACCAGGGAATCATTTTCCATGTGAGACCTAAATACTTCTAAATGAAATAAGTAAAAACTAACTTGAATCCAAAATACTTAGTTACATAATCAGTAATTTCTGAGATAGTCTCTCCTCCTTTCCCTTCTACTATAGAAAGAATAAAAAGTGCCGAAACCGGTTTGGCTCAGTGGATAGAGCGTCGGCCTGCGGACTGAGGGGTCTCAGGTTCGATTCCGGTCAGGGGCATGTGCCTGGGTTGCGGGCACATCCCCGGTGGGAGATGTGCAGGAGGCAGCTGGTCGATGATTCTCTCTCATCATCGATGTTTCTAACTCACTATCCCTCTCCCTTCCTCTCTATAAAAAATCAATAAAAAATATATTAAAAAAAAAAGAATAAAAAGTATAAAGTAGTTGAAGTATGTGGTTTATTAAGGAAGCTAGGCAGAAATTATATTCTTCAAACATGAAAGTAATTATATTAAATTAGAAAAGTCACCCAAATCCATAAGATGTTAAAATGAGTCCATATAAGTTATGACAAAAGGCATTATTTTAGTGCCCAGGAAAAAACTGAAAAGAAATTAAACCAAGGCCAAAATATCATGTAGAATTTTACTATAATAAAACTATAATCATTTGATTTGGATAATGCTCCCAACTTAAAAAAAAAATGTTTTAAGTTTTAAAATAAAATACCCTTTCACAAAGATGGCACGCAGAAAGCAAAGAAAGAAGCCAAGGCCGAGAAGGCAGGTGCTATAAGGCATCCACAGCCACACACAAAAAATTATCCACATGTTATTCACCTTCTGGTAGCCCAAGACATTCCAAAAGCAGCCCAAGTATCCTCAAAAGAGCAACAAGCTTGACCACTATGTCATCATTGGGTTCCCCCTTAGTACTGAAGTCAACCATGAAAATAGAAGACAAAAACACACTTGGGTTCATTGCCAATGTCAAGGCTAACAAGCACCAGACCAAACAGACTGTGAAGAAACTCTATGACAGCCCTGGCTGGGTGGCTCATAGTTAGTTGGAGCACCATCTCATACATCAAAATGTTGCAGGTTCGATTGCCGATCAGGGCACATACAGGAGGCAACCGATTTATGTTTCTCTCTCTCTCCCTTCCTCTCTCTCTAAAACATATCCTCTCAATAAAAACATATCCTCAAGTGAGGATTAAAAAAACAAACAAACAAAAAAAGCTCTATGACAATGACACAGCCAAGGTCACACACTACTCAGGCCTATTGGAGAGAAGGCATATGTTCAACTGGGTCCTGACTATTTAGGATGCTTTGGATGCTGCCAATAAAACCAAAGTCATCTAAACTGAGTCCAGCTGGCTAATGCTATTAGGAAACTACAAAACCACAGTCCTTAAATGAGATGTCAAATAAGTAAAAGAACTTTATAGATAATAGAATGCTTCAAAGCCACCATGTTAAGAAGTCCAACTATCCTGTTAGCACCATGCTTTGAGAAAAGCATCCACAAGGCAGCTTAGCTATATGGCAGGAGCTACCAGAACCAGATATGGTAAAGGAGGATCCATGTAGTTGAAGGGGAGGTGGCAGAAAGGGAAATCGCAGGAAGACTGACCAAATAATATAGGAGTGAGCAAACGTGGGTATACAGTTGTTAGTATACAAAACACAGTTTATTCTTGTATATTATTACTGTTAACCTACTTTTGCCCAACCCTCTAGAGGTAACAGGAATCAGTTTTTCACTGTCAGAGAAGACACACACACACACACACACACACACACACACACACACACACACACACACTAGAGGCCCGGTACACGAAATTCGTGCACAGAGGTGGGGGGGGGGTGTCCCTCAGCCCGGCCTGCACCCTCTCCAATCTGGGACCCCCTCGGGGGATGTCCGACTGCTGGATCGGGCCTAAACCAGCAGTCAGACATCCCTCTCACAATCCAGGACCGCTGGCTCCTAACCGCTCACCTGCCTGCCTGCCTGATCACCCCAACTGCTCCCCTGCCAGCCTGATCGCCCAACTGCCCTCCCATGGCGGCCTGATCACCCACAACTGCCCTCCCCTGCCATGACCCACCTCCTCTGCCAGGACCAGCCTCCTCTGCACGAGGCAGCAGAGACGCCAGGACCAGCCTCCTCTACGTCACGCAGAGCCATGTGACCCCCAGGCCTCACCATGCAGAGTAGCCGCTGGGCCCCACTTCCGCTGTGCGCACAGCCATCTTGTGACAGCCATCTTGTGATGATGTGAGGGCTATTATTAGTATAGATGTGTGTGTGTGTTATTGGATTAGAATTGAAGGTCTCAGTATGAACTAATATTTTTTAATACAGAAGTAGCTCAATACACATATATACATATTCCCTAGCTCTATCTAATAAGTGAGGCTAGAACACTGACATCTCAATAGTAGTGAGCACACCTAGCACTCAGATCTTGGCTTCTAAATATCTTTCTCCATTAAGAGGAACCAGGGATCCAAGTATCTTCCCACAAAAACATTACAAAAGAGAAAAGAATGATTTCACAGTGGGGAAATAGGCTGAATAATTCCCGCCTCCCTCCTCCCCCCAAGATGTCTTCATCCTAATACCCAGAACCAGTGAACATATTAACTTACATGGCAAATGGGACTCTACAGATGTGATTAAAGATCTTGAGATGAGGAAGTTATCCTAGATTATCTGGGTGGGCCCAATATAATCACAGGGGTCCTTATTAGAAGGAGGCAAGAGGACCAAAGACAGAAGCCCTGATAGGGCCTTGTGCAGGAGGCAACCAATCAATGTGTGTCTCTCACATCAATATTTCTGTCTTTCCCTCTCTTCCACTCTCTCTAAAAATCAATGGAAAAATATCCAGGGGTGAGGATTAAAAAACAAAACACACCAGACATTCCAAATTCAGGTTCATTCTACAAAATAATCTTTAAAGTCAAGAAAAAAGCTGAAGAATTGTGCTGCACTTAAAAAAACTACAGAAACGTGTCAACTAAATGTAATGTGTAATTCTGAATTGGATCTTCTACTGTAAAGGACATCAGTAAGATAAGTGACAAAACTTGAATGGGATCTGAAAAGGAAATGGTAATAATGTTAATTTTCTGAATTTCATAATTAAATTATGGACACTTCTGAAAATACCACTGGTGATTTTTTTTATCTGTATTTCAATAAATTAAGCCTCCACAATCTCCCATTTTCAGGCACAAAACCAAGGAAACAATTGATAAGATTATAAGAACAATGCTGAAGTCTATTAGCCAGACAGCCTGATCTATTCAAAGAAATGATATTCTCCCAATGTCTCTGGCCAAAAGAAAAAAGTACACATGGTTTTCAGCCTCCACAGTCTTGTACAATATGTACATTATGTTTCACTCTTCCAATCCAAAAATTAAAATTCTTAACCTTTTAAGAGAAATTTAAGTTAGTCAATAAGTATTACAAGGTATGGTTTATCCCACAGTACAATGACATAGACACTTAAAAGAATAAAAAAAAGCAGTTCACTTTTTAAACTTCCAGTTTATGAAATTACTAATTTCATGGCCAGTAAAAATTATGTTAGTAATATCATTAACATATGATATAGTTTCTTTAAGAAATTATCCATATTTATAGAAAAGGGAAATTACAAGGTCATAAAACAATTCTGTAGTTTAAAAAATAGCATAATAACATAGCATATTATGACTGCTCTCAGCAGTTGGACGTAAGGTTATATGTCTGTGGGAGTAGTTCAGGTTTGGGGGGGGGGGGGAACCATTATGGTTGTGCTATACAGTACCTTTGCTAAAACAGTCACATCCATCTGGCCGTGCCATGATAATCTGCCAAAGTGTAGTATAACTGAATGAACTCAGAGCACCATATTCCTAGAACCCAAAGAGCTGAAAGAATGGTTAGCCAGGTCTGAAGTCTTCAAACCTGCCTGCCTGTTTACCACAAAAATTTCATTAAAATCATGTACCTTCTTATAGATTTCTAATTTGGCAGAAAAAAATGTTTCATCGTAAGTTTGAAGAGTTGCAAAAGATGCCATTTCTTACATAAAGTTGACATTTTAAAATAAAATAGTTCCATTGCTGTTAAATGTACCAATGGCATCTAAAAATCATAGTAATTTCATACGACCATCATCCATTTACAAAAATTCATGAACAAGCCCATCATTCTACTTCCCCACATAATTGTATCCTAACGTACTTTCACCCTGGTAAGACATTTCTTATAACACTGACACATACTTCTCAAAATTAAGTTTTTAATCCCTGTGACTACTACGGTTTTCCAACTTTATATTTCAAACATTTTCAGGCCTTCAGCATAGCTAAAAAAATATATATATATATTAAAATAAACACCCTTCACCTAAATTCACAGATTTTGCAGCTTTGACTTTAACTCTAGCTCCCACTTTCCCTCCCCCTCCTTTTTATCTGAATTATTTTAGAGCAAGTTGCAGACATCAAGACATTACACCTAATAAATGCTTTGGCACATATCACCAAAGACTTATTACATATCATAAGTTTATATATCATACTTAAGTTTAACATCTATAAGGTTTTATGTGTTAAAATATCTGACACTACATTTATGTTATCAAGGCAACATAAATATTACAAATTGATAAATTATTAAAAGAAAAATATGTATGCTTTCATTAATAAGCAACTTGTAAATATTCTATATGTCCAAAAAGAGTTAAAACTGTAAATACTATAACTTATTTTTAAAAATAAAAAGTACACTCTTACCCATATGGCAAAATATAAAGACAAAGACAAAA